GCCACGAAGTCATATTGAGACGTGTTCAATCCAATTGTCGTTATGAGGTTTCTGAAGATACATCTGTCTCTTTCACAATACAGCATCGGAAAGAGACGGGAGATTTGTATCGGATGAATATTTTATGTAAACGCTGATTGTGTGAATGTATCTTTTATCGAATATTTCTTACGAGAGCAATATCATAACTTATTCTTTTTTTTTTATTTGACTCACCAACCATTCGCCCATCCCTATTAAGACTGTAGGATCCGCAAATCAGCAATTTTACAGAAGAGTTTTAGAGCAAATTAAATATATAAACAACCTGCCGCCATAGTTCCACACGCAAAAATTTTCATTCCTACTACTTGGATCATTGGAGCTCCACCACTGTGCGCTTTTCAAAACACTTTTTGCCTAGCAGTACCAACCTGTGGAGCAACTTATCGTCTGCGGTATTTCCGGACCGATACGACCTTCTAACCTTCAAGAAAAGAGCGTACTCCTTCCTCGAAGGCTTGCAACGCGTTTGTGACTCCTGAGTTGCAGACGTTCATGGGCGGCGGTAGTCGCTTTCCATCAGGTGACCCATCTGCTCGTCTGCCCCCTCTAACATAAAAAAAAAACACTCCTGGCTCCTGCTTCTCCGAGTAGCCGGAGATCCGAATTTATTACCTCCTCAACAAAAAAATGTGGTTAGTGACACTGACTGCTACGCCGGAGATCGTTGGCTCGATACCCACCCAGGACAAAGATATATAAGTATGTTTATCATTAGTCCGGTTACCATAATACAGGCTATGCTTAATTTGGAGCCAGATACCGCTGTGTTAAGGTACAATTTTATTATTATTATAGAAGGTGTTTAATTCTATGATTCATCCAGTACTGATTGATCGTCAAAAGGAAATTTCTTTCCGTCCCTCAAGGTAAAATTGGGGTTTTCCGCTTAAGCATACTGTCACTATATCATATAGAAATATATAATTTGATGGTTTCAAAAGCGAAATAAGTAAAAATCACCTCCGGAATTTCGTAAATAACTTCTGCGGTGATCCGTAATCCGATTTAGGGATTCCGGGGGATGCGAGAAGCTGAATGAGGGTAATATTTTTCGAGAATATTATAAAGGTTGTTGTTACTATTTCTTGGAAAACAAATAACTTGGAAGGGAAAACAAAGGGGAATATTGCACGAGTCTTAAACTTATCTTTTACATTGAAATTTTAAATATACTAGCTGCCCGCGTTTCCGCCCACGCGTTTGTCGGCAATCGCGGGAAAAAGTAGCCTGTGTTACTCCTGATAATATATATTTAAACAAAGTTTATTTAAAACTTAACTTTAACTATTAAGTTACAAATTATGTCAAAATGGCTGTATAAGACTGAGGACCGCTATATCTTTTAACCTTTTATGACAGTTCAAGATATACTTACTGGTCAAAGAATTAGATTAATATATTCCGAACGATCTAAATTCGATAGCAAATTTTGACATAACCATATAATTTTGACGTTTAAAAGAGAGGAACAGTTTTGATTGAACAGTCAATTAATTTTTTAAATACATTGTTTCCCAACTGTGCTACAAAATAATATAGCCATGGAATAAAAAAAGCAAATAAATGTCAAAACAAACTACGCTTCGTATGAACTTTTATTTGTAAGTCCGCGGGCGATTCAATGTATTCATAAAAGATAGAGTTTCTCAAAGTTGTTGTCTTTAAACGATCTCTTATTATATCAGTTTGATATCCTTGAATCCTGTCTGTACCTATATTTTATGCTTGCTTTTTCAATGTATCCTATTTTGTGTAGTGTATATACATGTCTAATTATGTATGTATGTATTCAGAATAATTATTTAGGTATATGAGTTTTTTAAGTAAGACCTATACTTAAAAAACTCATATACGTAGATCATAAGACTGTTAAGTTGTTTTTTTTTTGTACAATAAAGGGTTGTTTATCAATATATATATTTAAAAAATAAAGTTAACTATCTATACTTGTGTGATGAGCACGATCATTTGTTCTGTGTCTGGGTGTAATTTATCTATATTATGTATGTATTTAGCAATATATAAGTATGTTTATCAGCAGTCTGATTACCATAGTACAGGCTCTGCCTAGTTTGGGATCAGACGGCCGTGTGTAAGATGTTTGTAATTATTATATTATATTATTATATTATTATTATTATACTTACTTATATAAGTAAGTATAGATAGTTAACTTTTGCGAAGCGTGGCAGGGGACAGCTGGCATGAGTACTCACGTACCCTGCCACGATTTGCTGTCGCATATTGTGGTAGCAAACCATATATAAAAACTATATCTGAAGCGTGGTCTATATTGTGTCAAAATTTGAGCGTAATCTTACCAACTGATGAATCGCCTTAGGCCCTATATTGTGGCGACTTCCATATACTGAATGGAACAAAAACATATTTCAGAGTCATCTAGGTCATCACCGCCAGGCATCATCACCTCGCCTGGTCGTAAGATCCTCACACTGTGTTGGAGTGACACAACACCGTAAAAATACCATACCTGCACAATATCGTAAAAAGGCGCAATAAAGCACTTGTCTCTGTATTGACGGATTAAGGATACGGAGTGTCGCCACCCCTACTCATTCTGTAGGTGTCGTAAGAGCCGACTAAGGGAGCAAATTACCATGACCACAGCACTGCAAAGAGAAGGGAAACTTGATACAAACCCTATACCAACCCGTCTGGCCAATGTGGTATAGTAGGCCAAAACGTCCTTTCTAAGGAGGAGCTTATGTCCAGCAGTGGACTACTAAATATTGTTGATAATGACAATGACACTAGGTATAGAAAAATTTAAGTGAACGGAAGCTTAACACAATTAGGTATTCCACCCTGTCTATATCTTCTGCCAAAACATTCTCCCAAAATTAATTCTTCCTGTACTCAATAAATATCGCTCAGGCCCGTAATAAAGCCAGGAAGTGTTTCTCATTTGCCGTAATGAGGTCGTAAGAATAGGACTATAGAGGAATACTAACTGAATTTATAATTATTGCATCAGCGATAATATTTTAGAGCTTTCATGAGCCTTCGATACCTATATGGCGTAGTGGTAATAAAAGATGCATAAAATTATAATTGGAAATTAATATAACTACATATTCTATTTTTTTCATGCCATAAGGGGGCACGAGTAGACGGGTCACCTGATGGTAAGCAACTACCGCTGCCCATGGACACTTGCAACTCAAGTTGGAGTTGGCGTCCCTCCCTCTCGAGTCAGCGGGAGGGTGGATTTGGGCTCCGGTATCCTCACTTACTCAGTGAAATGCAACGAAAGAATTGCTTAACACCGGTTTTCTGAGAGGCCGTGCTATGACTCCGGTCGAGCCGGCCCATTCGTGCCGAAGCATGGCAATTTCTCTCGGTAATTTAAATTCCATAAACAAGAGGAACTTGGGTGAGGTTATCGAAACCCTAAACCCCCCTTTTCCGCATAATTCTAGTTTACTACACCACCATCTATTAGCTTAGATTGAAATACCATTTTAAAATTGCTGAACAAGTTCGTTTGAAACATCCTAAAATCTTAGAACAATATTAAGACGATCAACTTTTAATTTAATAAACTGTATACTTAATTTTCCCTTTACCCTTGGCGGTGGTATTTTTTTTAAAAATTTTCACATCACATCACATCATCAGCCTTTAATAGTCCACTGCTGGACATAGGCCTCTCCTTAGAAAGGAGGTTTTGGCCTACTCCACCACGCTGGCCAGACGGGTTGGTATAGGGTTTGTGTCAAGTTTTCCTTCTTTTTGCAGTGCTGGTGACCTGCGTTGTTTTTGCGCCCTTAGTCGGCTCTTACGACACCCACGGGATGAATTGGGTGATGATGATGATGATGATGATATTTATTTCTGTAAGTAAATCTTTTCAGATATTTTTACAAGTCGGACTTTATAGCTAGAAGGAGCCGGCATTTCCTAAGACTCACTCTGGGAAGAAACGCCGAAACAAACCACAGAGGTGTCTTTTTTTTTAAGTCCGTAAACAGTAGTGGCATCCCGTATTCTTAATCCGTCGCTACACGAACTTTCAAATTTTAATAAGACCAAACTGGATACCCTCCAGAGCAACAAAATAATGTTCCAATTCAGTGCGTAAATAACGGTACTGGGATAACAAACACGGGACGCTCATCTTTTGACGTCAGTTATTGGTAGAACAATAAACGTAGGAGTCATAACCCTAATTAAGGAACAAATGGGTACATTCCAAGGTCGAACGTCACAACGCAATTAATTAATAATACATTTAAAATATATTTATATGTAGACAAAGCGCTGTGCAGATCTGGTTGTGCGGGGACCGTACTCAAACGCCGCGGGCTTGAGACGCCTGTGTTAACATCGCTTTGTTTATATCACGAATAAATTATACTAGCTGTTGCCTGCGGGTCTGTCCGCGTGTATGTCGATTACCGCGATAAAAAGTAGCCCATGTCCTCAGGAATCAATCTCTCTCCATACCAAATTTCATCTAAATCGGTTTAGCGGTTATTGATTTCCCATACAAACTACCATCTTCCTTTTCACCCCCTTAAAGGATGATTTCTGGGATAAAAACTATCCCATGTCCTTTCACGGGACTCAAACCATCTCTATACCAAATTTCAAGTAAATCGGTTTAGCGGTTTAAACGTGAAGAGGTAATAGATAGACAGACAGCCACACAGTCACACATTCACACAGTCACACATTAGTTACATATGTAGTTGTACATATATATGTACAACTTTACCATTTTATACTAGTTATTTTATTATTATTATACTATTTTATACCATTCGAAATCCAAAATCGATCTTAGTGGCGTGCAATGGGAGAGGCCTATGTCCAGCAGTGGACTGCGATAGGCTGATGACGATGATGATGATGATGATACTATTTACTTATTTTATTTATTCTAATTATTAGACGATACAATTGCCATCTACCGGCCAATTTGATAATTAAATATGGAAAAATTGTGGAATGCGAAAAGAATAGGGTTTTGGATTATACTAAAATATAAAGGATTGGGTAGTGTTGGCTATATCGCTAGCAGGTCAGGGTCGAATACCCGTGAGTACTGACAATAACGGGGAAGTGTGAGTCCTGTAATGTAATGTAAGCGGTCCTACTGCGCTGAGTGTTATGGGTTCGATCCCCACATGGGACAATACTTTGTGTGATCTACAAATTATTGTTCTTTCTGAGTCTGGGTGTTCTTTGCGTTCTTTACATGAATGTTTGTTAAGTCTCCCGCGATAGAAGATACATTCCGAGTGCGGGAGTTGTCTTTTAATACAAAAGGAAAAAGGTTTTTTAAATAAATAGAAAGATGGAGAAGTGTATGTGTGTGTAAACGGATGAGGAAGTGAGATTTATTATTCGTATTTTCTATTTCACGTCTTGACTTCTGTACATGTTTTTAATTCATCTAAATAACTTGTTGGTGCCGTGTGGTGACAGACTAAGAATACGGATTGTCACCACCCCCAATCATCCCGGTGTCGTAAGAGCCGACTAAGGGAGCAAACTACGCAGGACAACAATACTGCAAAGAGAAGAAAAACTTGACACCAAACCCTATACCAACCCGTTTGGCCAGCGTGGTATAGTAGGCCAAAATTTCCTTTCTAAGGAGAGGCCTATGTCCAGCAGTGGACTGTTACAGGCTGTTTATGATGATGATGATGACGAAATAACTTGTTTCCGGGGGACACCTCTATCGGTTAACAAAATCTATATTCATTCGAGCGACTCTGAAGGCTACAGTTAGTTAAAAAAGAAAACTTTGAGAAACACTGTCTGCAATATCCTCAGTGCCTCGGGCAATCTGTGGGTAAGTGGGTTTGCAGCTTGTTGCGCCGTGTACCCAACAGTAGAACATTTTTATACAGAAACTTTGTTGTTGAGAAATATTTTATCTATAAAATAGTAGATTTATTCTGCATTCTGCACGGATGGCGCAGTGGTTTATACACCTCACCGCTTCTTTCTGCGCTGAGTGTTGTGGGTTCGATCACTTTGGGACAACACTTTGTGTGAGACACAAATTGTTGTTCTGAGTCTGGGTCCCAGGTGACCAGTTGAAAGCTGTTGATGATGACGATGACACACACACTGCTGGCTGATCCCAAACTAGGCAGAGCCTGTGCTATGGAAACCAGACTGTTAATAAACATACTTATATATTTCTAAATACATATAAATAGATGACCCACGCAACTTTGTTTGCGTCTATTACAAGGAATAAATTTTCCAAGTTTTTGCAACATTTTTCAGTGATATTCGACTCCTTTTGGTCATCGCGTAATGTAGCTATACGTATTGCCTTCCTCGATGAAAGGGCTATCCAATAATAAAAGCATATTTAAATTCGAACCAGTAGTTTTAGAGATTCGCAACCAAACAGACAAACTTTTAACCTCCGTAATATTAGTATCTATAGATAAATTGCACCTAGACACTGAACAAAAATGATTGTCCTTATCGCACAATATTTGTCCTGAATGGAAATAATCATCATCATCAACAGCCTTTAATAGTCCACTGCTGGACATAGGCCTCTCCTTAGAAAGGAGGTTTTGGCCTACTCCACCATGCTGGCCAGACGGGTTGGTATAGGGTTTGTGTCAAGTTTTCATTCTCTCTGCAGTGCTGTTGTCCTGCGTAGTTTGCTCCCTTAGTCGTCTCTTACGACACCCACGGGATGAATAGGGGTAGTGACATTTCGTATTCTTAATCCGTCACCATACGGACAATCTCTCTAACCACTAATCCAACATAACCGTCTAGTTTGTTACATATCCAATCCTATACAGTGTTACCACTTATAAATGTGGATGGAATCAGGATGGCCACTAACCGTTTTGTTTTCAAAAAGAAGGTGCATGATCTCCTTCTTAATAAAATGGCAGAACTACTCAGTCCATAGTACACCTCATAATTCGGTATACATAGTATACGAATATAACATGTACATTTATATATATATATATATATATTTATATATGTAGGTGTATGATGTGATGTGTTGTATATGTGTATGTATATGTATGTAGTGAACCGTGTATATTTATATATATTACATGTCATAATATGTAATCTCTGTGCACCTACCTTATATGATTTCTACACCACCCAAAGGTTGACTGGAAGAGAATGCCTTGGGCATTAAGTCCGCCGATGTACAAAAGTGCATGAAGTTTGAAACAAAATAAAAATAAAATAAATGTATACGGACCACTATAGGAGCAACGTAAAACTCCATTTGCGTCCCGCGTTTTACAATCCGGATCTATCCAGTTCTATCCGCTTTTAAGAATACTTAACCGGATATACGCGTAGCGTAGACGAGTGCAGGGCCTATTATTATTATTTTATGTCAGAGGGGGCCGACGAGCAGACGTGTCACCTGATGGAAAGTGACCATCGCCGCCCATGAACGTCTGCAACTCAGAAATCACAAACGCCGGCCTTTTAGGTCTTTTCTTGAAGGTTTAGGCACAGATATACATCGTTAGGCTCTGTCTAGTTTGGGGTCCGAAAGCCATGTGTGATGTTATAATTATTATGTAATTGGTTCTCTAATGGCTTGTATTTCTGTTGTTTTCAGGCCAAAACGTAGATATCACACCCAGGGAGGCTGTGAGAAGAATCGGGGATGAGCTCACTGTGCTCTGTAAAGTTCCTTACAACATCGACTCTTGCAGGTATTTATATAAACTTTTTTTAATATGTTTTCCTTTATAAATTTTGTTTTCGATAGATTGCGCTGTAGTATGTTTGGGTTTCGTTGTATGTGGTATATTATATTGCACTGCGGTTGTTGTATTATGTTAAACTAGTTTTAAAGTCGATAGGTATTGTCTAGAAGTAAAGCGCCTTATCTATTTATTTCTTACAACGACGGGCCCCTTTACCTTTTAATATTAAGTATATCTTCTTAAATCGAAACGAAATTTTTTACACATTTTTTTTACAAACAGTTATTACAACTGACTTGATTGACTGCACGGATAGCGCAGTGGTTCAAGCGGTCGCGATGCCGCTTACCACTACGCTGAGTGTTGTGGGTTCGATCCCCACATGGGACGACACTTTGTGTGATCCACAAACTGTTGTTCTGAGTCTGGGTGTTCTTTGTGTCCGTTTCATGTATGTTTGTAAAGTCCCCCGCGACACAGGATTTATTCCTACTACGAGAGTTGACTTTTATAAAAAAGAACAAAAAAGAAAAAGAACTCCTAGAACGATTTGTATCCCTGGACAGAGCCCAGTTAGGGGCGGCGTCGGTCCGAAGGCCCTTAGACTAAGGCCTGAGAGGCCCAGAGAGCGCCAGTCTGGGTGGTTTTTAATGTAAACACTAGTTACTCCTTCCTGGCTCCGCTGTCCCCGAGGAGCTGGCGATCTGAAGGGATTTTCTACACCGTCACAATTATTATTACAAAGCAGAATACCACCACCAGAGACATACCACTGCACCGTGAGGTCCAGTAAGGTGATCACACGCGGATGCTTCCATACGAAAAAATAATTAACCTTTAAAAATACTTTTGTAGGTAAACAGTGTTTGATATGATAAAAGGGTGATGTTGATGATGAAGACGAGGATAATGGCGATGCTAATGACGTTTATATTGATTCCAGAATGACAGTAGGCACCACCTCGTACAGATTAATACCGGACAACATTGATGGTGATGTCATATACGCTGGACAAGGACTAAAGGTACGTGGGATCCAAGTATATACTCGTAGGTACTTTCTAGATTTTTTGCTTCTTTTTAAACAATAATTTTAAGATCATCAATCATCAAAAGCCTTTATTAGTCCACTGCTGGACATAGGCCTCTCCTTAGAAAGGCGGTTTTGGTCTACTATACCACGCTGGCCAGACGGGTTGGTATAGGGTTTGTGTCAAGTTTTCCTTCTCTCTGTAGTGCTGTTGATAATCCGTCACCACACGGACCATTTAGTTATATATAAGTATGTTTATCAGCACTTTGGTTACCATAGCACAGGCTCTGTATAGTCTGGGAGCAGATGGCTATGTGTGTGAGATGTTTCAAGTTAAATAAAATTGTAAATCAAAGAGATATCGGCTCCAAACGTAACTATCTCTATCAGAAATGGCAGGTAATCTTTCACTGCTGTTGAAAGCTACCGTAAAGTCTGCTTCTGGAATTACCACCCACCGATATCTGTGTCGGACTCGGACCGACCAAAAACCCCACGCCGTCTCGAGTACCAGTAGCCGGGAAACCAGATGTGCCCTGGCAATAAACTGTACTGATGTTATTGTTCTCTATCTGCAGAATGGCGAATGCGGAGCACTGATCAAAAATATAAAAGAAGAATGGAACGGCAATATCTCTTGCGTTTTGCCGCCTCCTACTGGAAGCATCGAGCTCACTGGAACCATGAGACTTATGGTTGCACGTAAGTAGTTTTAATACATACATTCATACACTCACGCCTTCCTCCCGTCCACGGCATGCAGAGACGTTGAGACGCCATTTGCCGCAATTCTGATACATAGCTCTCGCCTCGTCAGTACACTGCTGATCTGGTCAGTAGACGTCTTTCGGGTTTCCATTTGTTCTCTTCCAAGTAAACTAATAGTCCATGAAATATTAAAATGAAAAATAGATGGAAAGGAATTACTATCATATCCAGATTGTGACTGAACGGGCGTTAATGTCCCTTCAACCTTGCATCATATGTTGATGTTGGTTTGTATGTTACATTCAGAGGTCTTGACAGGATTTTTAACCGGCATTGGACTTAGTACTTTTGACTACGTCAGATACCATCTACTGTTACTGAATCATTCTGGTTAGATGTGGTTATAATAGTGTTATAGTAATGTTGCGGTCAGAAGTACTGACCGGTTAAGATTTCTGACTGTTTTTACTGATCGGCGTTAGAACTTTAATTGCGCGATATAGGTTTAGTAGTTACTCCGTAGTTCGGTGTGTCTTCGTAAGATGGCACTGTAGTATATTTCTCTTTCGTTGCATGTGGAAGTCGCTACAATATATCTCATGCAATATTTCCATCTGTATGTGTATCTTCTAAAATTACCATTAAATATGTTTACATTATGCTCTGCTACGTTAGCGAAGCCAAGGCTGTTTGACTGCTGCATTGAAATCAAGCCAATCATACAGTGTTCTCTCTCTATTCACAGGTGCTCCAGGCGAACCTCACCTGATCTCCCCTCCACAATCATCTTTCAGAGAGGGCGACGACTTCATGGCTCAGTGTGTAGTACCCAATGGTCGACCAGCTGCGAAGATCACCTGGCTCTTGGGTAAGTGGAACTTATTTATACGCTATTTATTAATTAATACAGGGATGTGTACTTGCAATCCCAGAGCAAATAAAAAAGTTAAGATGGTGCTCTATAAACAAAGCAGTGAGGCCAATAAAGCGTGGCTTGGCATGTACATACACTATTGCACGCACACACGTATAACGAAACTACGCCTTGTCAATCAAAACCTCATTAAAATGTCAACAATATTTACAAGTAAAATGCCGAATGCAGTCCGTGTGGTGACGGATTAAGAATACAAATTGTCACCACCCCAATTCATCCCGTGGGTGTCGTAAGAGCCGACTAAGGGACAAACTAAGCAGGACAACAGCACTGCAAAGAGAAGGAAAACTTGAAATAAACCCTATACCAACCCGTCTAGCCAGCGTGGTATAGTAGGCCAAAACCTCCTTTCTAAGGAGAGGCCTATGTCCAGCAGTGGACTAGTATAGGCTGTTGATGATGATGATAAAATGCCGAATTGTGTTGTGAAAGGAAGTAAAAATCAAACTACAAGAAATAGATAGTAGGATGATATCGCTTTTTTTATACCCATATTGTAGGAGTTCTCTTAATTAATTTTACTTAATTTTAACAGGTAACCAAGATCTTCTAGCAGGCGTCCACATGCCTGTTTTGACTTCGGAACCAGGCAGCGACCTGGTGACCATCATGCAGAATGTCTCCCGTAAACTGACAGCGGATGACGACAACACATTGCTGGTATGCAGAGCTGAGCATGAGGCCTTGGAGAAACCTATGGAAGCCAAGAGACAGCTGGTGGTTCACTGTAAGTATTTAGGTCCAGGTTCGAAGTTCAAAATTATAAGCTGGAAACCTAATATTCTCTAATGCAATTTTGACGGGACTGTGGGGATAGTGGTTATTGACCCTGGCTGCTCAGCTGGAGGTCATGGGTACGATACCTACCCAGGACAAATAATTGTGTGATGAGGACGATCATTTGTATTGTGTCTGGGGGTAATTTATTTATAATATGTCTGTATTTAGAAATATTTAAGTGTGTTTATCAGCAGTCTGGTTACCGTAGTACAGGCTCTGCCTAGTTTGGGATCAGACTGACATGTGTGTATGTTGAATATGCATACTTTAGATAAATTACATTTAGAAATAGAGCAAATAATCGTGCTCATAACATCATTATATTCGACCTGGGTGGGAATCGAACCCACGACCTCTGGCTTGGCAGTCATTAACCACTAGACCAACAGGCTTGTCAAAAAGTAAACTTATCTTCGCATCTATATAACAAAATGACTTGGGGTGTCTTAGCTCCTGCTTAGGTTTCTGCCCTCGTCACGCTTAAATCCCATATTTAATAAGAATATTTTCTATTTCCTTTCTCAGATCCTCCAACTCGTGAAGACCCCTCGGGCTCCAACCTGATCACCATCTTTGGCCTGAAGCTGGGCGCCGAGGGCCGGCTCAACGTGACCGTCCGCGCCAACCCCGCGCCCATCGCCGAGTGGACGGTGGAGGGCGTGCATGTGCAAGCCCCCAACAGTGACCATCCCTCCTTCAATGCCCTTGCTCCTCATTTCTTGGTAAGTTACTTCTACTTATTGGTGATGAGACAATCTTAATGATAAAAAAAGTTTACAAGTGATGGATTCCTAAGGTAATCACGACTTTTATCCTGTAGGTGTATACAGAGACAGGTGTTGTGGTATATTTAATAGTGCCATTGTATCTAAATGTGAATTGCAAAAGAGTGGCCATGAGTTGCCCTTTCTTCTCATAAGGCTCAACCCCTTGGAAACCGGCGGTTGTAGATCGGCACAGGCATATCATAGACTTTGTATAAGTTTAATTTTTATTAAATTTATTTGCTTACTATTTGACAAGACACAGAGATTGTTGCTATTGTGTGTGTTGATCTATGACTTTAGAGTCAACATAAAATAAGATTTCAAACAATTTTAATATTTTATGAAATAATGAGAGTTTAAGACATTATAAACGCCTACATTTAGCCGGCAATAATTTTAATCTACTAAAATAAATGTCTAAACAGGTGGAAAGTCTATTGCCGTCAACCTGGCACCATATGTTTCTGTATAAGTATTTTTATACTTACATAAATATTTCTAAATATAACATACATATTATAGACAAGTTACACCTAGACACAAAGAAAATTTGACTACACGGACGGTGTAGTGTTTTATGCGGTCGCTTCCTTATGAGTGTGGGTACGATCCCTACAGGTGACAACACTGTGTGATCTACAAATTGTTGTTCTGAGTCTGGGTGTTCTTTGTCTCGTTTCGTAAATGTTCGTAAAGTCCTCCGCGACACAGGATATATCGCCCATCCCTATTAAGAATGTAGGATCTGCAAAACAGCAATTTTACAGGAGGACGCGTCAAAGTTTAAAATTGCTTAATTTTGTATATATATAAATACATAAATTTACTTTGTTAACATAGCTATTTTAAAAACTATGAGGAAAAATTGACTTTTTGTGAAAGCTGCTGAAAAATATTGCTTTTTTAGGTCAATAGTAAAATAAAAGCAAAATCAAGAAAATTGCATATCCGACCTTCTTAATAGGGACAGGCGATATTCCTAGTACGAGAGTTGTGTTTTTTAGGTATATACCGCTACACCAACATCAAAAATACACATAAAGAACTAATATAAGGAAGTTCGAAACGTTCTTTTTATGAGGTCGGTTTAAAAGTGTTTATATTCTCCACCAGGGCAATGGCTACTACAACGTGACTCTGATCCTGTCCACCATCGAGAAGGAAGACGTGGAGAACACGTACTTGCTCCGCGTCAGCAATGACCTCGGCACCGAACTGTACAGTGTTAAGATCAGCACCATGGCGGAACCTGCTGGTGAGTTAGAAGACCTTTGGATTCTCAGAATCCTAATAACTTCATGTCTACAGGATAGTCACCGTCAGGGATCTTGAAGCCAAATGTCAATCCGAACACGGTCATAAGGATACGTGATCCTGACCCCTTCTAGGAGTTACTGTAGTATCAGACGCGTTTTAATATTTAATAGTAGGGACGTAGCAAACGTTGTTCTGCTATATCTTATATAAAAAATTCTCGTGTCACAATGTTCGTTCCCGTACTCCTCCGAAACGGCTTGACCGATTCTCATGAAATTTTGTGTGCACATCGGGTCTGAGAATCGGCCAACATCTATTTTTCATACCCCTAAATGGTAAGGGTGACCCATCCCTAATTTTTTTTTGTTTTGCAATACAACGTTTGCCGGATCAGCTAGTAAATTATGTAGGAAATCAAATCGCGATTAGAATATACGGGGTGGGGATAGGTTCTGAAAAAAATCATTAAGTATCACATCGCGTTTATATATTAGACGTTTATCAACAGTCTGGTAACCATAGTATGGGTTCTGCCTAGTTTGCGACCAGACGGCCACGTGTGAGATGTGTTAGGTTATTATTATTATTACACAAAATGAAAACGAATTAAAACCTTCGTATTAAATTAATTCATAAAAGTGACATTTTGTTCTCAAGTTTCCTGACAGCAATTGTGTTTCGTAACTCACATAATTTGTATTCTTAGCAGCGTGGAGAGCGATCACCTCTTCCCTTATCAATATCTATGGTAAGACTTCACTCAGGAATGGTTTGAACGAATGATTGAATGGGAATGAACTGTTTTTTGACATTTGACGTTTTTTTGACGTGTAACATCTTTCCTCATCTGTGGAAGTACCTAATTTAGGAGTGGGTATTTGGATTGACCAATGAGCGCGCAATGGGTCAAGATGTCAGATCTTACACGTCACATGTGACTACTGTAGCTCGCTAATTTTTTTTTGTACTAGGTAGAGTATACAAAGATTTCTTTTGTTATTGAATGAACTTTTTTTTCATATTATAGTGTAGTGTCCCAGTAATACTAAAAAGCTTATTACTATATGAGATTTTAGCCACTTCTTAATGTTATGGTTGTAGAATTATATACTCTTCTGTGGCCATAAAAGCGAGAGAAACTGCAAGTCTGAAAAGACCTTGCAGCGGTTCTGTCTAAGTTTAAAACTCTGGTATTTTTTTACAGATTATGTTCTTTGCTACGTTTTTCCCTATTATTGTTTATTTATTTTAAGCATGTAATATTTTAAGTTGAGAATATTTAGTGCTAATATTGATAGTTGACATGCGCATGACATTGATGTAACTGTTATTAAATGTTTGTGACTTGGGACGCAATCGCGGCAATATGTACTCGTAAATGTATTAAAACGGTTTTGTTTACCCGACGTTTCGAATGAACTACTACGATCGCTGAACTAGCATTGTGAACATATTGTCGCATTTGAGTCCCGAGTTACTTAAAACTTTTTGACTTAGTAGATATACGTTTGTTAATATTCTTTATGAAACTGTAAAAATATAATTCTTGCAAATATTTCGGAAACTCAAAAAAAAGAAAAAAGGAATGAATAATTCTTTATGTTTATAATATAATATAACATTTTAAACATAAGTATTCTGCGTAATGTTGTTTAACGACCTGCGTGAGAAGCCACAAGGGCCAGAAGGTCAATTCTCGTTATAAAAGTTCGGTCACAATTCAGTTCTGATCAACTTACGATCTCACAACTGTCGTAAAAGGTATTCTCGTAGTAAAGTATTAAACATCAAACGTTGACTGTAATGTGATTATATCGTATTTAACTGAAAATTAAATCGGTAATCTGCTAGTAATACTTGGACTGCACGCATGGCGTATTGGTTTAAGCGGTCTCCACGCCGTTCACTATTACGCTGAGTGTTGTGGGTCCGATCCCCACATAAGACGACACTTTGTGTGATCCACAAATCAATAGCGGTCCAGCCCATAGACAGACTAAAAATATTTAAACTTATTTTTAGGCATAGGTATCGTAAAAATAACCGTGTTAGCATGAAAAAAAAACTAAAAACACGCTTGTATATAAAACCAAACTAAAAAATAGATATTTATTTTAATAAATTTGAAAAAAAAGCGTTTGGTGATTGTTGTCAATAGTAAAAAGCACCCCACGCTTTTTTTCAAATTTATTTAGTTTGGTTTTCTATATAGCCTGTTTTTTAGTTTTTTTTTAACTTTTTATTTAATATATTTTTTTTAAATTAGTGTATTGTCATCGGTCCTCGATATATCTACAAGGTTTGAACGAATTCTGAACGTTTAAAGTCAGTCAAAATCACGCCCAAAGGACTGGGACAGGCCAAAAACTTTTGACGGAATGAAGTCTGTCAGGGCAGCCAGTAAAACATAAAAGAGTATAACGAGTATAGGCGTGTAACATTTTTTTTTTTGACCAGGCGTGGAGCTGAGCACCGGTGCCATCGTGGGCATCGTCATCGGAGTCCTTGTAGTGCTGATTGCCGCAGTCCTGGTAGTGCTTGCATATGCGACCGACAGGTGGTGCTTCGCCGGTAAGTCAACGCTTTTTGACCTGTCACTATTCCTTTTTGACCAGTCGAATTGTTGAATCTTTGGAGCTGCATTTGATCAGAGCATGAAATTTAGGTATATTTTTGTAGTTAATATTACAATCATATATAGATACACATGTCTAAATCGCCGAAAGAGGTGGACAGAGGCGTTTTAATCGTGACTTACGTACGGCAATAAGTTTGCCCACTATGGCAAGTCTATTGCCCTCAACCGGGCACTTCAAGGTTTAAATGGTAATAGGGAATCGGTCAGCGGTAGAAGCCGGATATTGCTTATATACAGGGTGTAAGGGACGGTAACGAATACTGAAATAGTGTATTCAGACCATCATTCTGAGTCGAAAATCATTGGCATTTTGCATAGTAAAATGATACTGACATAACACTGTAAAAATTACTTAATTAGCTCATCATCATCTTTAACATGCGCACAGGAAAGCATAGATGGCGCTACAGTAGCTATGTCGTACACAATTCGCTTATCAAATCAGTTAATTCGAATAGGTACTTACTATATTAAAAAAAACCAAAAGATTTTCTCTCATTTAGAACAACAGAAGTTTTACTATTTACCAGTAGAACGTGTAATACTAAAATTTTTAAAACTTGAAAAATATTTTAATAAAATATACCTAAATAATTGATTGTATAACATAGCATTTTTTTAAATACTTTTTATAGTATTTTTATATTTTTATTGCATGAAAATCTTATTTCTTAAGCATGTAATATTCCTTTACATATTTATTTTTTTACAAGAAATGCTCCAGAAATATTAACAATTCTTTTACATAAATATGTAGTCACTTTTTAAATATTATTATATTATATTTGTAAGTGTTGTATGAGTATTGTTTTTTTAAATAATTCTTATAATTACTCTTCGTTATTTACCAATAGATGTTACCTATTAACGGTAAGTTTCTACACTCCACGGTACCATCAAAATAACTTACCTCAACTCTCTTCCCCTCCCCTGTATCTGGGGGCAAAGACAAAAACACCCTGTCTCTCTTGATTTTCGGGTGGCAATGGGGGCGGTAGTCCCCCTATACTTTAAAACATTCTTCATTTAACACATGTACCTTAAAAATGTTTTATCAAATCGGACCAGCAGTTTTTCAGACCTTCAAACAAATAAATCCTTGGCTTTTTATATCAATGTAGATTATAAATCGATATAAGACACCTCCTATGACTGAATCATAATTTCCAACTTGCTTTTTTTAAATGCTTTATATTGTAAGCTTGTTATTATTGCCGCAAACAATTACTAGTAATAATTACATTATAAAATAGTTATTAATGAGTAATAATATCTCTGGCAGGCTCACGGGCAGTTGGTCGATAGGTAATGTTAAAAAAAAAGGAAAATGTAGTAAAAACCACTATCACCTTAACAGTGTGGGGCTTGCACCAAAAAAGTTTTAATAAAAAATTACTCATTTTAAACACATTTTGGCTGTCGTAGTTTTAGTAAAAAAATATGTATTTTTTGACAGTGTTCTTGCTTTTTCTGTAATAAAAATGTTTGAGTGTAATAACTGAGAACAACAATATTTTGGGCGATCAAGAACAAATTTTTTTTTTAATTAAATGCATGATTTTTTTAAAACAGCATGTGAATGTTTATTTAATTTTTTGAGCATGAATTATATTAATTCAAGTTTGGATTTCGCATGTTTATTATAATACATTTAAAACATTTTTTTTATTTACTTTTCAATATTCGTGTCTACACAAAATGGTGGAGGTATTAATTAAATAAAATCACAAATTAATTGTAGTTTTTGTTATCACGTTTTGTAGCTAGTTTGGGCCTCGGGAGCAATAAATTTATTTTTGTTAATAACTCACTTCAAATATTTGTAATAGTTTATTAAAATAATATAACGTGGAAGTAGAATAACACTTGGAAATTTAAATGTAAAACTATAATGTTTTATTTAGTTATAAAATTTCATTTTAAACTAACATTTTGCCACCACGTACAACCACACTTAATAGAATTTCATTTATTTAATTTTTTTAATAAATGTTAGCTAAAATATACTTTTTTTAAATAGTTTAGACTAATATACTTATCATCTCTTGTGTTTGGTTTCCTATGTCAGGTGAAATTTTGTCTAAAAATAAGGTTTTGGGAGAAAAACATTAACACATACTATTTAATTTTAATTGTCAATATAAGCGTATTGATCATAATCCATCCGAGGCCCAAGTCAATCACCACCACTCACCAAGTCACCAAACAGCACAGACACTAAACATGCCAGGAAATAGTTCTTGATCGCTTAATGTATTGTATGACAGGGCGATCTCACCGGACCGATATACCAGACGGAGCAGACTCGGAAGCTCCGTTACCACCCCACGACGACATCAAAGGTTCCGAAAACCCCACCCACGACCACGGGGATTACATCAGCAATGGAGACACCAAACACCCAGAAAAAAAGCCCGACACCGAGGTCTAAAGCTGTCTCGAAGTCGATGATCATTTTCGAAGTCGGTAATCACTTTATTTTCGACTTTTAAGTGATGTCAATATATTCAAAGTATTCATCAGATTTATCAAAATATTGATAGTAATATCTACTTGAAATGTAATGAACTTTATAACAATGTTCGTGGTTAAATGCTGTGAGTAGTAATTTTTTTAATTGCTCCGACTTCGAATGCTTTAAAATGTCAGCTTGTCCAATTATGGACTTTTCATTAAATAGTGTCGTTTAGTGCCAGACAGTTTCACATTGTTACTTATTATTAATAAATAATCAATTGTATTTAATAAACATGAAAAATATTTACGCGATTTTGAAGTTAAATTCTAAAATGTTAAGGGAAATTTTAGAAAATATAATTAGATATGTTAATGCATTCAGACTTTACTGATGTTAATGAACTAAAATAAATTAAACTAAATGAAATTTTGCAACTAAAATTTTAAAAACCCTCTGCAGTTTTTAACTAATTTAGTTTTATAAATTTTTACATTACACTAGATGTCTTTAAAGCTATGGATCTAGTAGATGACCTATGTAAAGTCTGAACATATTTTCATAGTTTCATGTATGTTGTTGCCTCTTTCATGTCCCATAGGTATAGATGTTGCCATTAAGAAAAAATACTACTGTTGATAGAAGAATAACATGTCCCCTATGTGAAACATTGTCAAAGCGAAAAAATTTGCCATATTTAGTAAAAAAGTTTTTAATTGCACAGTTTTTGATTATATACTTTTGTATTTTTTATTTTAGAAAAACTGACAAAACATTTTATGTGGCTTTGTTCTATAAATGTATATGTGGCGTTTATTGGTAATTGGTTTCTTGTAAACTGGCTTTCTCAATGTTTTACTTAAAAGTTCGGTTTAAATTGAATTAGGCAGTATAATAAGAACATCGAGAATTGTAAAATTAATTGAAGTGGTATTTTTTCCTACATTGCAATTATAAATGTATCCATTTATATTCACTTAAGCCGAAGAATCTCGCGATATGTGACTGTTGTATAGCATGTAACATCGAAATCCCAACGCGTAAATTTTAAGATTAAAAAATAGTAAGTTTTGAGCACAAAAAAAAAACTCTTTTGTGACTTATTGTAACTTAAATATTAGCTTAATATGTAATTATTAATTTTGCAATTATTTTTTTTAAGATTTATCCACTTCAAAATGATTTCATATAGTTTTAAGAGAGATATAGGGACTTATTGTCAGCCGTACTGATGTTAATTGCACAAAACATTGTACGTTCAATATTTTTTCTTAAAAGTAATAACAAATTGAAAAAAAAAAATTAAAATAATTTAATTTTTTAAAAAGCATTCCAAACACCTCAGATTTATATTAAGCAGCGTCGTAATACCGAGCGGTTGTGGATTAGAACCCCACCAGCATACTACCGAGGCGAACCCACTTCTGACACAAGAATTAGAGCCTAGCTGGTAGGGTTAATAAAAATACTGGTAGTATGGCACCCACGTTGCTAGTATTTAAAAAATACTTGTTGTTATTACTAACGGCTGACAATTGGTTTATATACTCTATATATAAGTTTACAATGTGTTCGTACCACTATATTAATACTGTTGTATATAATATGTAGTAAAACAAATCAATTTCTTTTTATATAAGTCTTTTTTCATTTTACTTTTTAGTTCTACTTGTATTTAGTTCAGTAATTATATAATTACTTAACTAAAAAAAACACCATTTTAATTATAATGTTCACAATTTTCACCGATATTCGTTTATTTAAAAAACAATCGGTAAAAATTGATAATGTTGTACAATATGTGTATTTTCTTTTTTTAAATCTTAGTTTTATAAGTCACCAAGATTGTGATTTTAAATATTTTGTAATTAAATATAATTAAGAATTATTTTTATACTGATTTAGTTTTTAGAATGTTTTAACTATCTCCGTTCAAACATAAGGTCAATTAGGAATAAATAACACTGCCATTTTGCACCTTAACCAAATCTTTGTGTACTACAAGAAAGTTGCTGTTCTCAGATCATGCTCCGAGCGGGAGACCTAAGTTATTAAAATAATGGTCTAATTACGAAAATGAGGGTCTCTTGAAAGGACTACACTTGTCTAAATTTGCATTTTCAACAAATTGAGATTACATTTCCATGGTTTTGGTTGGTGTACGGTAACAAAACTAGAGACAACATTCTTTTTTTTTACCCTTTCTCAACTATAATTTAGACAAGTATAGTGTCGCCTTTATAATAAATAAAAACAATTGAATAAGCTCAAATTGTTTTTAGCTTAAACAAAATTATGTCTGCCGAAATTTTACTATAAACTAACATAAATAACATGACTTATTAATAAATAACCATTTATATTTTTTGTTCTTTAATTTGTATTACTTATTAATTAAAAATATTAAATGTAATGTCATTTTTTTTAAATTGTATTTAATGAAACAAATTTTTATGTCATGTTATTATGTTACGGTTTTTTATAAAAATAAATAGCTTAGTCCACTATCAATGTCTATAATAATGGTTATGACGAAATATTGAATATAATGTATTTATTAAATAAGAATTTTGATGTTTTATTTTACTTTCTATGACAGCCAAACACGTACTTAAAACCTAAATTTAAAGTCAGGTGGTATACACCCACATTTGTTTAATTATATTGTAGTGTATATTTTCTCTTGCACTCTGTTAGGAAGGGACATCACATTAGCAGCCTATAGCAGTCCACTGCTGGACATAGGCCTCTCCTTAGAAAGGAGGTTTTAGCGTACCATACCACGCTGGCTAGACGGGTTGGTATAGGGTTTGTGTCAAGTTTCCCTTCTTTAGCGGTGCTGTTGTCCTGCGTAGTTTGCTTCCTTAGCTCTCGCATTGCTAGTTGCAGAAAATACACATCATTATGCGGATAGTGTAAAGGTCGCTCGTCATTTTTCGAGTAGGTACACCTTTCTGGAAATGTCTAGCATACCGTGGAACTTTCTGGAAAGTTCCCACTTTTTCTGGATCATTCTATTTAATACAAAACATTAATTTATACTGCAACAACTCTATAATATGACTGCACAGATGGCGCAGTGGTTTAAGCGGTCGCCACGCCGCTTCCTACTGCGCCGAGTGTTGTGGGTTCAAACCCCACATGGGACGACACTTTGTGTGATCCACAAATTGTTGTTCTGAGTCTGGGTGTTCTTTGTGTCCGTTTCATGTATGTTTGTAAAGTCCCCCGCGACACAGGATATATTCCTAATGCGGGAGTTGTCCTTTAACCGCTAGTATGCCCATGTAGACTAGTGGTCTACAAAAACGAAATCCTAAAGTGCCCGTGTAGACTAGCAGTCTACAAAAATAAAAACGGAAAGTGCCCGTGTAGACTAGTAGTCTACAAAAATAAAACCGTAAAGTGCCCGTGTAGACCGGTAGTCTACATGGCTCCTGCCACAGATTAATTAGTATTTGACAGTAATTGTATTGACATAATGCTCTTTAGTAATATTTTTTCTATAGTCTGATATATTATCTATGGTATTAATCTCAGTCGAGCATGCAAACACTAGTAAAAAAAAGAATTATACGTCATAAAACTTCTGTCATTTCATCTTACATAAATTATGCCGCGTGGCGGCCGATAATGGTAAGGATTTAGAGGCCTGTAAATAAATAAATATGTATGGGAGAGTATATGGTTTTATTTCATAACATATTAACTACTATCTAAACAACATAATTAAACATTAAAAACCATAGGTCATCGCTTTCATTTTTGAACTATGAGCTTCGAAGTGCAACACGAGCTTAAAAAGACGTTAACTCAATTTCAACACAGTGTAACTCAACACCAGAGCCGTAATCTGTAAATAGAAAGATAACATTGTTTAGCTAATTTCATAGGCAACTAAATAAATATAACACTTGACACCCTTTCAATACAAACTTTAGTCACAAGAACCGATTAAGTGGAACACGGCGCGCGCGTCGATAACGCAAAAAACAGTGGGGCACTTTACGGGTGGTCGGTATTTGTGCCGGGGCAATCTAGACGGTCTCGCTCGCGAGTCGCGGGCACTCTGGACGCCGCGGGCGCCATGACAGGGGCATACGAGCGGTTAAAAAAAAAAAAAAAGAAAATTATTACTTGTTATCATTTCCACATTTGTAAATAACCTCGACACTTTGTTTAAAAGCAAACAGAATAAAACTGCTACAAAACATGGGTTCGAATCCACAACCACACCTTCAAGTTTCACTTTTATCTAACAGGAGACATGGTACTTGCTTGACAGTATCGCAATACGTCGCTCTGAAGTTATTACAAAGACAATTTTGCTTGAAAGTCTTAGTTTGAAAGGCATAAAGGGATAGATTTAAGGGGCCCTGCATCAGGCCGGCCTAGGGCTGCCACGCTTTAATATTATATACTACCTGTACCCCGCCATGCTTCGCTGTGGCAGCATTGATGAGAAGGCAGGAACAAAACTGATACAAAAAATAGTTAAAAACCATCCTTGCTCTGCCTAGTTTGGATATCGTGTTAAATTTGGAGCTTAAAAGGTGCAGAAATTTGAATTTTTGCAGCGTACACAAACGAACTTAACATTTTTATATAAGAGATAGATGGATATAACTATTTGTTACACAAAACTTGGATCCATTTATTACATATAAAATTACAACGTGTTAGATTACATACAACAGGGTACCTATCATTGAAAAACAAGAATACCACTCCTGAGTAAACGAAAAAACTGCAAACAACCTTGAATGGTAATTAAAAGGGGAAAAGTGTATCACTGCTCATCCGGCTTAATCATCAGACTTAATCTTACCCGATTTGTTGGACATATCAAAACCAATAAATTGAGCCCAAACTTGAGGTGTATACTAGTAGAAACTTACGAGCTCCACTATGTGCCTCCATTAGAACAACTTCAAGATGTTTATTCTGAAACCTGTAATACTGTCATCCAAATTACGTACATACAAAGTTAAATTTAGAAGGAGGTGTACAATACGTCAGATACCGGGGCCTGTCAGAAAACCGGTGTTAAACTGAGGGCCAAGTGCAAGGTTATTTCACTTCGGCGCTGTGATTGGTGGAGATTTCAGTGCAGGCTAATCGTAGCGCCGAACGCTCGCACCGCTCGTAACCGTGACGGTCGCACTTGATCCTCTGTTCTTTCGTTGCTTCTCACCGAGTGAGTGAGGTTACCGGAACTTACACCCCTCTCCTCCAAATTGGAGGGACTCAAAGAGTGAAAATGCAGTTTATGGCTCTTGGGAAACATGTGTTCATGGAGGCTGTCGCTGATTTTCAAGTCACCGGTCTCCTCTTGTTTACATACTGAAGCAAAATTAAACAGACGCTGAAAGTGTTAGCTGGATATATTTTATAATCCTGATCGAACTAGTTACAAGGCAAGACTCTAAAATATCTTATCTCTTCTTGAACACTTTATAAACATCCATTACTCAATACAATTTTTACAGAAAAGAGTAAATAGACAATTCAGTTTGACTTTTTTTATGTGTCTTATCTCAGTCCCCCGACATTTATGAACCCATTAGGAAAGTTCCTCTTTTATTTGGTAAGGGTATACCGGGTATATTTCCTGTTTAGTCCCATTCTTTATAGAATAAATACCACTTCTATGGCTGATAAATTAACGAATTTAGAATACAGTTTATTAGACATCCATTATAATGTAGTCGGTGATACTTTAAAAAAATGTAATTATTTAATAAATTCCAGGAAGAAGACGCGACAACCCTAGGAGTTCTGGCGAATCGTGAGTATATTTTCTTGATACAACATATAATAGACATATTGAGTATATAATAGTAATGTTCTGTGACGTTTTAGTCTTAAACTAAATATATCCTAATACTGTAGGCTCTAGAACACAGATGTAGATACATATTTGTAAATACATACGGGTCTGTGGGTCCAGTCATTAGTGACCTTGACTAATAAGCCAAAGGCCGTGATGAACGCGATCATCCGCTCTGTGTTTGTGTGTAATTTATCTATAATTTGTAATTATTTAGAAATATACAAGCATGTTAATGAGCAGTCTGTTTAAGCTCTGCCTAGTTTGAGATCAAACTGCCGTGTGTGAGATGTGTGAAGTTAAAAAAATGTCAAATGAAATTGAGTGAATGTACACTGTCCGAAATCCGCCAATTATCTGTCACGAAGACAATTCTTTGAAGTTCTTTTTAAAACAACTGAGAAATAGAATTAACATTTTATTACAATATCTGTCATAATAAATTAATTAATTTGTTTTAAATGTTATATTAACAGCTTCTAACTGAATGCATCTAAATGTTAACTATAAAGTCAAGTGTATTTAATTCTGTCTGCCTGTTTGCGAGTTTGTGCGGACTTTCATTGCAAGCTGATGTTATTAGAAAGGCTACATTTTGGCTAATGCTTTGCACGCTTCTAGTTCTTGCATCGCAAAACAAGTTTCTAACGAAGCCATTTTGATTAGTATTTTCTGGAGAATCTTAATTATTACGACGACAGAAACGATTTTCCAATCGGTTCTGTCTCCAACCCCCAGCTACATTCACAGGAGTTATGTCTAACATTTATTGGTATGCGTTGCGTGGGAGAGCCATGCTTCTGCACAAATGGGCCAGGCTCGACCGGAGTGATACCAGGGCCTCACAGAAAATCGCTGTTAAGCTGTTCCTTCTTTGCTGTTTGGGGGGAGAGGGGGGAGGGACATTTTTTTTTCAGTTTTTTGAGTTACAGGTACGCGTCGGTAGTCAATTACTACCAGGTTTCCCTCTTATACTATTCAAAAAAATGATCTTGCTAAACGATCTTAAAAATACACCATTGAAAATAATTTGTAACTCAAATTACAAGCCCTGAGACCTAAGAATAGGTACTTTATGGAGTTTTCTTTGTGAAATATTATGATCACATCTCTGAGTTACCATTTTCCTATACTTGACTCTTTTAAAATTTGTTTTTAAATAAATAAATAAAAAATATTATTATTAAATCAAATTACATATCCATGTCAGATTTTTCTGCATTATGTTGACGAAATTTCCTTTGACGTTCACTATTTGATTTTGGTACTGTTTTTTGTTTTGTTTTTAGCGTGAGGTTTTTTTTCGTTACGGCATTTCTGGATACGGTCCCGGCGCTCAAGGCCCTCGATAGAAGCTATGCAATAGCTTAATAACCTTTCTTAATGTGTACTTTTCTTTTATGACTTAACTGTGTGAATGAGGGGCAATGATTACTGAGCGTTTGTGCTTATTTAAATTACTAGCACGTTCTACAGTCCAAACAAGAAAAACACAAAAAACTGTCGAATTCAAAACCTCCTCTTTTGTGTTTTTGATGTCGGATAAAAAGATTCGTCTCAATTGTGGGCGAGACCTAGAGTACACTACTTCCCATTTAGTTTGTAGCTTTCACGTATTTGAGTAAATAATTACATCGTTTTTTTCAAAATTAATATCTGTACAAAATTATTTATTTTGCAAGGACGCCGGCAGGAGTTGTGCTTTTACAGCCTGGCAACCCGCTTCCTAGAACGTACGTTTAACTATGTATCATAAATTAATTCACCGCCTGCAATCATTGCAAAATAAAACAATGAACCTAATCCATTACAACACCCTTCTACTAACAATTAACATAATTCAAAAGCATGCTTTAAAAAAAACTCTGATAAACAAAATGGTATGGCCCGCGTTGAAAAAAAGTAGAAATGGTAGAAATAAAATAAGTCATAGACTACTAAATACATCTACCTAAATGTTTGATCAAATGTTTTAGTTGTGTGACATGTTTAACTTTTTAAACATATCAATTCTTACAAAAACGTCATCAAAGTAATAAAGCCACACTTAAAATAAACTATCACTTGTAAACGTAACTGGTGACCAACCAGTGAGTACAACAACACTATAACCAACCATTAATTCCACGTTTTTGAATAAAGAATGTTAGGTTCAGTAGTCACTGGTTGCCAACAACCACTAACTTCTAAGGTTTCCTTAGCAGCGACACTGAGAGCGCCGTTGGCGGTCGGGAACGCTCGCGTATCGCGCAGATCAGCGCAAGGATGAGATCTGTTCTGCCGAAAGCTAAAGACAAGGTGCAAGCGACTGAAACTCAGATGGAAACTGAAGAGAAGGTATGTTTTTTTATAATTATATGTCCTTATTAGCTTAAGTCCGTGTGGTGACGGATTAAGAATACAGTGTCGTAAGAGCCGACTAAGGGAGAAAACTACGCAGAACAACAGCACTGCAGAGAGAAGGAAAACTTGACACAAACCCTATACCAACCCGTCTGGCCCGCGTGGTATAATAGGCCAAAACCTCCTTTCTAAAGAGATGCTTATGTCCAGCAGTGGACTATTAAAGGCTGTTGATGATTAGTTTAAGAAAGTTGGTAGATAGGCAAACGGCTTACCTGGTGGTAAGTAATTACAAGTGTCAATAAACAGCTTATCAATATCGACGTAATTTCTTCATACGACAAAAAGTACCAGGTTCTGGAGGGAAGCGCACCTGCAAGCCTGGTGGTCTTGTAAAGATCGATGGTGGTAGCTGGTAGCTTCCAACCGGTTTTCTTGCATATCATTCAGGGAGACCTATATCCAGCAGGTGACTGCCAATAGCTGGAATGATGATGTACTAAAAGAATAACCACGTTTATAGTAGTCCATAAGAGAGGACGGACTTGAGTTTAGGTAGAACTATGTTCTCCTGCTCTCTTACTTTTTTTTCATATTAAAGTCAAAGTGATAAAATCTGTAGGAAAGTCTTGCAGTGTTGCCGCATAAAGTTTTGCTTGGTATGACACTCGAGATGGTAAGATGGTACACGGTATCAGCACAGAATTTTCAAATTTACCTTGTACAAATACACTAAAGTTGTCCTTCTCACTGTGTTTCCTAACTACCCACCATTTTGCCTAGAACCTTGCTGATTATAGACGGTGTATTTTCTCTTTATTGATAATTATACTGTGGGAGAGCCATGCTTCGGCACGAATGGGCCGGCTCGACCGGATGATACCACGGCCTCACAGAAAGCCGGTGTTAAGCAATTCTTTCGTTGCCTTTCACTGAGTGAGTAAGGTTACAGGAAGCCCAAATCCCCCCTCCCGCTGATACGAGCGGGAGGGACTCCAAGGGCAGCAACGCACTTGTGACTTTTGAGTAGCAGGTGTACATGGGCGGCGGTAGTTGCTTTTACCATCAGATGACCCGTCTGCTCGTTTGACCCCTTACACCATAAAAAAAAAAAATTGAAGACTTTTGTAAATTTGTATATACCTGTCCATTTGTATTTTATATTAAATATAACTGAATGAAACCTAACGACACGAACTTATAAATACTAAAGGCGCCTGACATATAATTATTTTATTATATATTCTCTGACTCATCGAAATTTATTAAACCACAAACGTCACAGTTCTGTAAATTAAGTTTCATAATTAGGAATCCCTTCTTATTGAGCGATATATTAAATTCCCTTGAAAATTTGCAGAAGTGTCAGAGAGAAGAGGCCGGCCTCTTCTTGCTACCCCCGCCATCCCCCCGGTCATGTTACTAGAAACGTACAGGAACATGTCACAACTAGTCCTATATGTCATAATATTTAAACAAATCCTAAACCTTTTACAGGCCGAGGAGAAAAAAGGCATAGTTTACGCTGAATTAGCACTTGGAGACCAAACATCTACGGAGAAGCCGCAACCACCTTCGACTGAGTACGCTGAGATCGTCTACAACGAGCAGCCAAAAGAAAATAAAGAATAAATTTATGGTTACTATAACCTTCTACTACACACTGTAAGTTAAATATCGGTTGCTGTAACCTTCATTTGTTTAATTTAAGTACTTCGTAGTAAATGAACTGGTTACTATAACCAATCACTACGAGAAATATCTAAAATTATTGTATTTAAAGTTGGTTTATTTATGTGTAAAATGGTAGTTTTGTGTGTGTTTCTTAGTAAGGATAGATACCCACTGCTCACCACGGTTTACCGAATTTAGCTTTTTGGGTGGGTTTATTTCTACGATTTTAATTTTACAATTGAATACTACCATATAATTTTCTATTGAATTAGTAACATCTCTAGAGGTATTCTACCATAAAATATAATCCTATTGTGTTTTTAGCATGTAAAAATCTTTTTCTATTTACTTTAATCACAGAAATCATTTTTATATCGTACTTTTATATCTGAATTACAAGTTGTGGCTTCGCAAGTGATTCCTTTTTCGTCACTTACAGGTCTTTACATTCCTTAACTCTTCTTTATTAAAATTTATGTTTTTTGACTCTCTCTCAAGCCCTATAAGACCGCAACAATTGTCATTGCTATAATAATAATGTTCCAAGAATGTTTTATCGCATAACTAACAACTATTAAAGTACAGCTGTAATTGTATACGTCACTTGAGCCACCTATCTACTTTTTTTAGCTTAGATCTTGTATATAATTTAGTCGATCTACTTTCGAAAATTGATTTTTAAATTGTGTACAATATTTTGCCATTTTATACCCTAATTTCTTACCATTTTATACCCTAACCCTTATTTGGGGGTGTCATCGGTTCTCAATTTATGTTAATACATCATTTCTTTTTCATTCGAATCACACGCATTATTATTTTCTGATTATTGATTCTTGTTTGATCAAAACAACTTTCTTAGTGGGGTACAAAGGGTTGCCATAAGAAAAATAAAATCCTATTTTAGTAGATTTCACACACAAAAGAGCCTTTTATAATTGATATTTAGTAAGTACTTTAATCGCTTAAACTATTTTAAATCTTAAGGTAAGGTGATTTCTTGTGATTAAATTATAAACATACTCGATTTGATAATTTCACATTTCTTAAAATTGGAAATCCACCGAAAATATTTACTTTTGTAATTTTAAATTAATATGTAAACGTAAATTTAGTAACTAATTCTTATTTTGCACTAGATATTCTGTGTTCACATTAAATACAACATATAATCTTGAATCATTAAATGTCTAGATGGAGTATCACACCACAAAAGAACTAAAACAAACAAATTTATTACACAACTGACAAAAATAGCGACACCGCAAAACAACTTAGTGGCCAACTGTTAGAAGCTATTTTTAGACGCTGTCATATCTTCACCAGTCTGTCTAGACATATGATAGATTTAAGTATATCTTTATTACTTATAAGTCGTTCTGTCTAAATGACTATATTGTGCGCCATATAGGGGAGCACTCACCCTATTTAATTTTTTGGAACTTTAAAATTTAGTTGGTTACTATTTTTATGTTTTTACTTTTAATAAATATTTATTCCTTTTCTACTTTTAATTTTATAAAATATTTTACTTTATATAATTAGTGTTAAGTAACTTTAATTATCTTGTTCGAATTGGTTTTAGATTTTGAATATTAAAATATCTGAATGGTATTTGTCAATTCAACTTATTACTCAAAAACTGCAATCAATTCGTCAAGTTGTAGTAATCTCAAACTATTTAGTTTTAAAATTTAGCTTTTATTGATATTTTTAAATGTTTATTTGACTATTATGCCTAAAGATTATTAATGTAATCTCTTTGACACTGGGTAGTAAATAGTTATATCTCATATCAAACAAAAAACCAAACTTATTACTTTTGTGTCAGTGAGTTCAGTCGTCGCTGTGCAGTGAGGACAGAACAGAATCAGAGAACTTATCTTATCTTATGTTATCATATCAAATAGCAACACGTGTTCAAGTTGCAGTTTTCACAAATATATTAAATGAACTTATTTATAGAAATGTAAGTGAATTGTGCTATTTAATTTAAAAGTTCTCATTAATTTGTAAAATTAAGTATGTCGTGCTGCTTTTCGCAGTTTTATTACGTACAAAATATATTTAGCTGTAGTTTTATGTAAGTTTCTGTGTACACTGCTTGGAGTGCTAGATGTTAAGAGATCAAATCATTTATTCCATATCAATATAAGTATACTATAGATATTTTATTACCAATCAAATGAATTATAAAACTTTTGTAAATTATTTTATAAACAAGTTGTTGTCAGACAGAAGCTGACTTGTGCTTCTTCTTCCTTTAGGGTCGCAGCAGCTCAATGAACTTTAAAAATCTTACAGATAGTACATTTTTAATTCTAAAAAACTGGCAACTCAGGTAACATTGTCACCTATCATTAGAGTTTTAGGCGGGCATTTGAACTGAAAGGGCGGGATTTTAGACAGATTCCCGCCTAGAATCCCCATTTGAACATTGAAGTGAAGTGAAAATAGTGAAGTTATCTATCAAAAATTAAGACTTGGCTTAAAGGTCTTGTTACCAGGCCATAAAAATACAATAATAACACCTATCATTAAAGAGCGCATATCGCATAGGGTTGGTAGAGAGAGAAAGAATATTAATTTGATCTTACATCTTTATCTACTCTTGTCACCGATTGGCTATTTGAAATGCCCTCTTCAGTATCAGCGAATCAGTGCAGAGAGCAAAGAGAGATCAAAGACCAAAACAGTATTTTTTCTCTGTCTACCGGCTGTACGGTACCACTTACAGAGGAATATACAGTTTGCTTCCTCTATTTAAGTATTTCATATGTTTGTCACCACGGCTCCACAGAAAACTAGTGTTAAGCAGTTCTTTCGTTGATTTTGTGAGGTTACCAGAGCTCAATCCCCCTCCACCAGAATGTTCGTGGGCGGCGAAAGTCACTTCCCATCAGGCTCGTCTGCTCATTTACCATCTAACGTCAGCCTACTGCCGTCCACTCCTGGACGAAGGCCTCCCCAAGGACCATCAACCATCCCGGTCTTGGGCAGTCCGTATCCATCCGCTGCCAGCCATTTCCCTCTATAGTATAAATGATTAGTAAGACATAAAATAACAACCATTTATATTTTGGGAGCAGATTTATGAGCTATATCAAATTGCTATATCAATTTAGAGGAGGCTTGCAGTTAGATTATAATTAGTAGCTAACGCAACACATTTATAAATAAAGACTATTTTATTGCAAAAACTATTTTTGTGCTAGCATTATTGCACTTCTGCCTTGTGATGTGGCGTATTAGTGTGTCTACAATGAATATAATATAATATATATATAAGAAACAAGGAATATGATCTTATGCAAACATTAACTGTTAATTTACAACAAAAGATACGTATAAAGCCACCAGGCTGAACCATCCGTCCACTTGTATAATCATTTTAGTTTCGCAATTGAATATACTTATGTCCTTTGTAATATAATAAAAAATAAACTTAAGTTTTTTTAAATATTAAGTCATAGCACAAAATACCCGAACGTACCATTGTTCAATATTTTAAAACATAATTTAACTATCTTTATAATCAATTTAACGTTATTTTAAAGGCTCGAATAATATAAATATTAAAACGGCTATAGTTTATATCATACATAATAATTATATCGGAATAATTGGTTGTCAATCCTTTAAAGTGTGTAAATTTTATTTATGGGGTAATCTTTTTGACTGGCATTAACTGTATTTATTATACGCAAAAAGCCTATATACCTGTATGCACTGATGTTAAAAAAATATGATGAGTGTCAGCAAAAAGGGATAAATTGAAATATGTTATACTGAAACTTAATATAGAGAGAATTATTAAGAACCTAAAAAGGAGACATTTAATACAATATTCTTGTAAAATGCTTTTGCTACGTATTTTAGTTAATTCCATGTAAAATAGCCTATGGTGCTGTAATAACCATTTTACTGCACAGATTATAAATATAAGTGAAGATATTATAAATGTATTTGCGAATCTATGGTACGTACTTATTATTCTTTGTACTATGTATTTCAAAATAAAATCGTGTAATTTTTTTATTTGTATTATTTAAAACTACAAATACTCCTTACCCACGAAGAGAGAGTGTAGCGTATAGAGTGTCCAACGACTGCATGTACAACACGTCACATACGCCATGTTGTGGACAAAAATTCCTTATCCTAGCTCCCTCAGTCTATTCGTTTTTCTTATCCTATTTTACCATTTTCCTTTGTCCTGTTTAAAATACAGTACATTCCATATAAAGATTGTTTTTATATAGGCGCCTAGCCAATAAAGAACTCCATCGAAACAGACAAACATTGAGATATGGTTTTAAACAATGGAAGTATAAAATTAATACTTTTTAATTAGCTTAGTAAAGCTTCTAGTCGAGTGGCAATGGAATGGTTAGAATAGTATTTGTAAGTACAGTTGTAGAGATCTGATAATCTAGATCAGGGCTGTCCAGACAACGGCCGGTTTCCTTTCATGCGGTCCGCGACGCATGATTTTAAAGTGTAATTTAATCACAAAATAGTTCTAGATATAAATAGTTTGGATAATAGAATTCTTTGTCAAAAAATATAATCATTATTTGGTATAATTTATTTATGTTTATTCTTGTAACATTCCATTCGCATGACATCATTATTTTAAAAGTGAAGCTATCTTTTACTATTGTTGGGGGAATTCCCGGAAAGTATTTTGTTTTGTAGACTTAGTATTTGCTGGTGTCCGTATTAGTTAAGCTTATCCTTTCACTAAGTTCGAATCGCCACTTCTCGTACCTATACCGCTTTGAATTTTACACGTTATAATAATTATTTAAAATAGTTATTATTATATATTATATTTACAAGGATGTATTGGGAAATGTTAGCAATATTTCCAGTAGGATAGGGTCCGTATACAAAGCGCTGTTGTCGGAAAGTCCGAGCCCTACGAAATTTTACTACGAAGCTTTATTATACGAAGCTACCCAACTGAAGACCTTTATAAGGAGACGGAAGTCTTCAGTTAGTTTATTCTTCTCCCAGTCCTTAAACAGCATAGTCTCCTGAATCCCTGACCCATCGACTCTCCAGGGGAAACCACACCATCAAACACTACTTCTATACCCTAGTCACCAATCGTTTCTTTTGTTTGATTGGAGAATACGAAATAAATAAGACTAGAAGATAATTTTTTTCGTGCGGAAATCCCCTCGGACACCACCTGTCGGTGGCATGTCGGACTCGAACCGACTAAAACCGCACGCCGTCTCGGGTACTAATAGCCGGGGAACCAGGTATACCCTAGAAAGGAAGTCCCTGGTGCCCCGACATACCTCGGGTCATCTACAGACGAGTAGACGACCCCCCCCCCCCCCCGTGTGGGAACCCCATGTTCCCTGTGCTCCCTGGAAGCGAGCGCGCTTCGCAACGCGTTCGCCGCCACCCCGGCCTGCTTCTGCTAGGGTGACAGATGGCCTCACCTGTCACCCCCAGGCCTGCGCTTATGGAGAACGGAGGTCGTTCTGCGACCTCCGGCGCCTGAGTCGCCTGCGGTACCTGGCCCGTTCCCGGGCCAAACATATTCCCCCTAACAAAATCAAGATATTAACATTAGCCTGCATAAACCGACCATAGAGATATAAGCATAGAGAGAACATAATTTGTTAATCTTGAAAATTATTTTGGATTTTATTATAAAACACATTGACCTCAAAAAGACTTGTTTATCTTTTGGAGCCTAGAGGCGGGTACTAAAATCATCATCAACAGCCTTTACTAGTCCACTGCTGGACATAGGCCTCTCCTTAGAAAGAAGGTTTTGGCCTACTATACCACGCTTGCCAGACGGGTTGGTATAGGGTTTGTTTCAAGTTTTCCTTCTCTCTGCATTGCTGTTGTCCTGCGTAGTTTGCTTCCTTAGTCGCCTCTTACGACACCCACGGGATGAATAGGGGTGGCGACACTCTGTATTCTTAATCCGTCACCACACGGACAGAGTACTACAAGTTTATTTATATTTCTGATATTTAGAGAATGAACATCACTTCATATTGATATATATATTGACTGGCACTGTCATTATGTTTATTTTTTTAAATTTCTGCCTCCATGAGCAACGGTTGAAAAAATTATAAAGTGCTCGAATCGCTCTCTTTTGTAGTACAAAAATAGTTTGAATGTCCGCAGCATTCCCCCACAGTGGAATACCGTACGACATTATGCTGTGAAAACAACTGAAGTAGACAAGTCGTGCTGTATCAACATCAGTCAACTCTCGGATTTTTCTTACTGCGTATGGTGCTGAGCTGAGTTAACTCGATAATTTATCAATATGTGGCAACACTGTAGCTTAGAAACTAGTTTTATACCTAGAAATATCGTAATGTCCACAAGGTTCAACCAGACATCTTTAATCATCACAGTAGTTTTCACTGGCTTGACGTCTGGCAAAGTGAAACGTATACACTTAGTTTTTTGTTAATTTAAAAGCAAATTCGAAAACCACTTTCGAAATGGCGCTGTTTACATCTGTGAAGTGAAGTGTCCGTTTTAGTCTAAATTATAGTGATGTATCATCTGCAAACAAAACAATCTCGGGATTGTTGAAGTAAGTCGTTAAGATATACTAAAAACAATAAAGGACCGAGAATAGAACCTTGTGGAACGCCCATTGGTATGGTAGACACAGAGCCTGGAGACCGCTCACCATTAATATCAACTTTCTAATCCTATATCTTATGAATCAAGAAGTTCCAGTGCTTTATTTTTGATACCATAGTGGTGTAATTTCCTGATCAGCGTTACATGAACAACCCAATCAAAAGCTTTAGATAAATTGCAAAAGATATCTAGAGAATTGTGGGCATCCTCCCAGGCATAAAATATATGTTTTACTAGCTCAACCCTGGCATCAGTTATAGAGCGACCCCTTCTAAAACCAAATTGTCTATTGTGTTATAAATTATTATAATTAAAAAAACTTTACAATTGATCATACATATTTTTTTCAAAAATTTTGCTAAATACTGGTAGTACTGAGATAGGTCTAAAGTTAGTTGGGTCAGATGTACTACCGGATTTGAATAAGGGAATAATTTTACTAGACTTCATAAGATCAGGAAATACACCACTATCAACACATTGATTAAATGTAAATGACAATTGATTAGCCACAAGAGATATAATTGTCTTAGTAATTAAAACAGAATTTCCCCATAGGTCGGTTGTTTTTTTAACATTAATAGTGTTAAAGGCTTTAATAATTTCAAAGGGGGACACATATTGGAACTTAAATTCACTATCAATTCTTCTAACATTATCTTTTAAAATTGATTCTGCAAGGCATGGTGAGGAGTTCAAGGATGAAGTAGTTGATACAGGAATGTGAGTAAAAAAATTCTCAAATGCAGCAGCAACCCTAGCATTTGATGTGATAAATTTATTGTTTATATTTAAATTAAATTCATTATCACGGTATTGATTTTTGCCAGTTTCACTATTAATAATTGGTTTAAATCTTATCAATGCTACTTTTAATCTTTGAAGTTAAAATTTTCAAAAGGTTCAAAAGCTTCAAAAGTTGTAAGCGTTTATAGAGGGCCCTGCACGAGTCAGGCTCCCCAGCGGGGCCACGCTTGTATGTCAAAAACTAGCGAAGATCTGTTTTCTCCCAACTTTAATAACTAAAATGTTGTGTGTCCAAACAAATGTAAATTAGCAAAAAAAAAATTATTAATTAATTATTAATATATAAATGACCTGCGGTGAGAAAATAAATGAATTTTATTATTATACTTGGGATACAGATTAAATCATCAGAATCAGTAATCCATGTCTACATAAGCTAATGTTATCAAATGTAGTTGAAAAAACTTATTAGGATGTTAATCCAATGTGATATATCATTCATTGTTATTAGGTGAAGCCGTCAAAGGATGGCAAAATGTTTTGACGTGACAACGTCTTATAATTCGATGGAGCCGGCTGCACGCACGAAAAAACATGACTCATGCGGCGTTACCTCGCTCTGAGGCGTTTCATTTAAGGCGTGAAGTGCAAGCGAGAGCGCGGAACGAATAAGAAAGAGGCACAATCGGCCTCCGCGTTCGGCAGCGTTCGCCATCTGTCTCTCTCCTACTTGAGTGAGCGATGCGTCCGCGTGGACAGCTGCTACTCGTATACAATAATACATTTTTGAAAAATGCAACCATTCCATCAGTATTTTCTTATGACGTTGTCACGTTCAACTATCGTCAGTAAACCGACTTTACAGACAACCGATTTTTTAATATGTATTATAAAATTAAATAAAAGAAACACTACATGAACAAACATAGGTAGGTTTTTAAAACCTAGTCTGGCAAGTTTGGCTTCGATTCGTAAAATTACTACACTTATGCGAATGTCATAATAATATCGAATTTGACATTTTGTGTTCAACTGAATTTCAAAAGTTGGGAAATTAATTTTTTTTCCAGCAATAACTCTATAAAAGACTTCCCAAATTTAAAAAAATTTGGGAAGATGATTATAAGAATGGAATAATAGCAGAAATAGATTGCACATAACCAACAAAAGCGATGAAAAAGATTTACTCTTTAATCTATTTGAAATCAGCAATATGTCGAAGAAAAAGGACAAAAAGACTGTATTACGAGGTAAATCAACTTCTTAACAACATAAAATACAAATACATCGTATCTCTTACATAAATTCTTAGCTTTAATGGAATATTTCCAACTTGTAATCACAGAAAAAATAAATGTGCTTTGCATTGTTTATATATTATGAAGCTAACCTAACGTATGTTTGGATTATTTGAGTATCTAATAGTGACTGCGAGTAGCAAAATGTATCTTCAAACCAAAAAAATGCTGTCTTAATTATCAAATCAACGACTTACAATGCTAGAAAGCCCTTAGACCTGGGGGCAAGTTTTTCCCATCAAGTGCCATATCTCATATCACCATTATCTGTAGTGTTCTTGAATTTTCTTCAAACAAAAACATTGTAGTTAATTGTCCATCAGTTTTGACTTTAACTACTAAAGTTATTAGTAATATTTGTCAGCATCAAAGAAAAACTTTGTACCTTAACATAATCATAGTTTTTGATTACGAAAATATTATTTGTGTTACCTTTTCCCAAATTTATTTGCGGTCAGTGCAGCATCTCCTTCCATTCTCTTCTATAGCTCGAAAGATCTCTGCTTGAGTGTTACTTTTATTCGTTCCTCCTCTCTTAGGACAAATTACGCAGCGCTATCTAGGATGGGTGAGTGTGTAGTTTGGACCTCTTGTAAGGTCTTCTACTTGATGAAAAAAAAAGTTTCCAACGAATTGAGAACCACCTCCTTTTTTTAAGTTGGTTAAAAAGCAATGAAAATATTACTTAACACCGGTTTTCTGTGAGACTGAGTCACTCCAGTTGAGTCAACCGATTATCAGGGTTCCGTACCTCAAAAGGTAAAAAAGGAACCCTTATAAGATCACTTTCTTGTCTGTCTGTCCGTGTGTCACCACCGATTTTCTCAGGAACGGGTAGACCTAGCAAATTGAAATTTATACCAGATACTGAGGTCTATGGTCCCTATTACGTGTATTAAAATCAAGGTCCTGAGTCAACACGATAAAAGGATATTGGCAAATTTCGATTTTTGCGAAAACTTGTAGGTACCAAAAGAACAATGGCAGAAACATATTTACCTAAAACTTAAGCGTTTAAAAAATCGAGTCACAGTAAACTTAATCAAATTTTTTTCTATGATTTATCATTACACCATCATGTGTTGTATAAGTCTTATAAGAGATAAGATATTTTTGAAGATTTTATTTGACCTAAGTACGTAATGTCAGATTCGCCATCACGTATAACTGACTAGGGATGCGTGGTGGCAATATTATATTATGGAACAATTTATCGATAATCGATTCTTATAGCTTTGGCTGAAATATTTACCGAAGGTTCACTATTATGATTATGAATTTGCTTCTGCCCACGTCTTCACTCGTACGGTAGAGTGACTGAATCAACATAATTAGAAATGATTTAAAATATTTTGCCTCTCTTTAAACGATTTTAAATACACTAAAGAAATGGAATATAGTTACGTTATTTTCCACTACACAGTGTGATGAGAAAAATACATTGTCATTGATAACGGCACATAAATAGACATACATCGATATTTTCAAAATGTCGATACGTCGTCGTTTAGTACATATCTCTTAATCTGTGGTTTAGATCCTGTCAAGTTCCGGACTCACCACGTTTGTTATTTTATTTTCGTTTAATTTAGTGTTAAACTCGAATAGATCTTATGCTTTTATTTTTTTTATTTCATATACTGTAATAATAATGAAAATAATATTTTCGGCTATCTGACACACAACGCCATCTAGTTTCAAACAAAACATTAACAATATGTTAGTACTTAACCTCGAAACATTCAAAATCCAATATCTTTTTTCCTAGACTTCTTTCGCAGGTAATTTTGATATGAGAATGGTCAAGAATAAATTCTCAGGTGTTAAGGATTTTTTGATATTTAAACGCTAACATTTCAGTTCAAATAAAATTATGTATGGGGACCTGCCATTGTCCTTTACCTTAATTTTCAACTTTTTTTATTTGTCAGAATTTTCTCTTTACTTGTGCTGTAAGACCTTGCTTTTAACCAAAATTGACAATTCTAGGTCAATCGGAAGTACCCTATAGGTTTTGGGTCGAAAACCTATTTGGTAGTTCCCGTTGACCTAGAATCACGAAACTTCTTACAGCACAAATAAAAGTTAAAAATTGATAAATTTTGGTACTTACAAATTTTCTCGAAAATCCACGTAAAATCTGTGTAGGTACGGAACCCTCGGCGCACGAGTTCGGCTCGTACCTGACCGGTTTTTTTTAACGAATCATCATCAACAGCCTTGAACAGGCCACTGCTGAACATAGGGCTCTCCTTATAAAGGAGGTTTTGGCCCAGACAGTTTGTGTGAAACTTGCCTTCTCATTGCAGCGCTGTTGTCCTGCGTAGTTTAGCTCCCTAAGTCGTCGCTTACAACACCCACGGGATGAATGACATTCCATAGTCTTAATCTGTCACTACACAGATATTATGAATATTAATTATATATTTTTATGAATTTGAATATTTAATGACCACCATCAAAGTTCTTCTGGTGTTCAATATGATTACATGACATTTCCAATGAAGAATAAATAAATAAAATAAAATAAAATTGTATTGTAAATATCTTTATCAATGAACTTATTACAGATTTCACTCTAGATGACTGTGCAAATGCCACTAAAGCAGTGAAAACCCTCAAGAAATCAGTCTTACAAACAGACACAGTTGAAGCTTCTTGGGATGAAATCCAGGATGACTTAGATATCGTTGAAGAAATCGCACCAGACGGTACTAAAAAACTTGTATGCAAACAAAAGAAATCACAATCTGTACTAATAAAAGACCGTCCCGGATTGGAATACCCAGAAATAGTTTGGTATTTAATATCAAAGTACATAAAACCAGAAGACATAGCTACGTTTGCCAGAATTAATAAAGCAGCATACCGTGCAACTAAAAATAAATCATTTTGGCTATTACTTTATAAAAGACATTGTGAGTACCATCCTAGACTGCCAGAGAAGCTACGCAGTGACAGTTTCAAAGCTTACGGACTGAGGCAGACGGTTATCAGAGCACTGTTTTATACTTACGATGTGTTCGTAAAGCGTATTGCTCAAATGGCTACACAAGACAGCACACCACACTTACTGGTAAACCGGAGGTGTGTTAATGTATGGTTCTGTAAAGGTTTAACACACTGGTCCGTGTATTTCAAGTTAAAAAAGATCAAACTGCACAGAGAAAAGAATGCTCTCGATTTTATTGAGGAGTTGGGGAGGATTGATGCTAATCCTGAAGAGGATACTCAAGTATTACATGTAAGCGGTTTAACATATTATTTGTTTTCACAATAATTTCATTTTTAATTCGGTATTTTTTTTAAAAGTTGTAACTCTTTTTTCACACGGACGAAGTTCTAAGCGTCAACAAGTTAATAATAATATTCTAAAACATTATGTAAAGGTAATATAAATTAATATTTAATATTTTCCGATTATTATTATTTGTTTATCACTAGTCTGGTTACGTAACTGATAGAATGAAATCACAATCAACTGTGTTAAATTATATGATTTATAAATTTTCAAAACCACCTATTATTATTAAATCCAAAAAAAAGGGGTTGTAAGCTTTGATAAAAATAATTTTGCATAATTTTGATAGCATTTATCTTTGTCTATTACCAAATCACAATCACAGGTGAATCACAATCAGTTGCAGTGATTAAACCTATCGCTTCAACATATGATTATGATTTAAATAAAATCCATGTCTAGTTACGATAGTACAGGCTCGGACTAGTTTGGGATCTGATGGCCGCATGTCAAGTTATTAGTAATGGCGGCCTTATATATATATATATATATATATATTTATGGCCTTAGAGGCAGGTAGAGCAATGCGAGGTCTTTGTCTTTGTGGAATTAGTTTTAAACAAAAAATGCAATGCAATACGATGTTGCTCGAGTATAAAATCAAAAGCTGATGAGAGTTGACACTGATAGCCCATCAACATGACAGTGGAATTGAAACACGGGAAATCCCCGAACGTAAATTGTAAATACCATGATAATTACCAACAAAAGAGGGCGCGAGTAGTGTGAAGGGAGTTTTAAAACGCGAGACGTAATCAAAAAATATATTTTTGTACTTGGGTTGTTTGCGATATTGCGCGACGCTCCTGCAAGAGCGAGACCCTGGGTGGTTACCCTGCTCGCCATCCTTGATTATAATTACTTATCAAACTGTTGAACTTTTGTTTCTATTCTTAGAAACTATAAACAGTAATAAAATCTCCATGTTTAATTTTTAGGTGACCTGCAAGAGTTTTCAAGAAGTCCCGCCCCTCATGGGTATGACCCTGACATCAGTATCTATGACCCTCGCCAAGGGGTTCCGATACCACAGGCTCACCCTCGGTTTCAACAGCGCACCTTACACCACTAAAGGTAACTGAAAACTTTGATGAAAATATAATGAACAAAATAGTTGATTTAATAAAAAATGCAAAGACCAATATTTAATGGGTTTGTTTTTTTTTTATTTGTCTCTGCCATGAATAGCAGAACGAATAAACGGCAAAAATATCAAAACTCATTACGTTACACATTGTGTGCAAAACCAAACACGGATGAAACGCAGATATTTTTTTTTTTTTTTTTTTTTTTTAAAAAGACAACGCCCGCATTAGGAATAAATCCTGTGTCGCGGGGGACTTTACAAACATACATGAAACGGACATGAAAGAACACCCAGACTCAGAACAACAATTCGTGGATCACACAAAGTGTCGTCCCATGTGGGGTTTGAACCCACAACACTCGGCGTAGTAGGAAGCGGCGTGGTGACCGCTTAAACCACTACGCCATCCGTGCAGTCTTGTTGAATCCGTTTGTTGAATCCGTGAATTGTAATTTCATCATCATCAGCCGTTTATCATCTACCTACTGCTAGATAAGGAATTCTCCTAAATATGCTACTGGGCTTGATCGTAAATCTCTGCCCGTTTCCCGTTTCCCTAAACACGGTCTTACCAGGACTTCGATCTTCATCATCAGCCTATCGCAGTCCACTGCTGGACATAGGCCTCTTCCATTGCACACCACTTAGATCGATTGATTAAAGTTAATTAAAACTATAAAACTTTAATGGCAAACTATTCACACCCTGGCATCATCATCAGACCATGTTTACTGAGTCGGAGAGCCATGCTTCTGAACAAATGGGCCGGCCATACCAGTGATTACACGGTCTAACAGAAAACCGCTCTTAAGTAATTCTTTGTGTGAGGGCCGTATATTGGATCACCACCGAAGTTGACTGCTTCGTTGGTGCTGTGGTAGCGTATGCGACTGCTGTGCTGAGGTCTCGGCTTCGAATCCCGGGTTGGACCAAATATTTGTATGATCTGCAAATATATGTTTCTGTCTACAAAAGTCATAGTCAATCTGGGTTTCCTAGTACAAGCTCTGCTTAGTTTGAAACTAGATGGCGTTGTGTTCTTAGCTGTCTGAAAAGAAAATATTAGTTGCATTTTTTGTGAAACAAGATTGAAAGTAATTATTTCCAGGTGTATTGCCGGAATGTTCCGTAATGCTGGACGCCGTGGTTGGCGCGCTCGTCTGCGACTGGTGGCACCCCGCCTACCCTCACGGAGAGGTGTTGCTTCCGAGACAGGAGCCCCCACTCCTCAAGAGAAACTTCTTCGACGAAGACAGGTCGTGATTGAGAGGTTCGCGGCAATTTGGTCGATTGTCGTGACGAAGGACTCGCCTGGTGATGTATGGGATTACAGCGGTTGCTATTTTGATGAATAGTGATGTGCCGGATTTGTAAAAATATTCGCGTACGCGTTAACGAGGAACAGTAGACGTTGTGGACTAAATAAATTAATTTCGACATACTCTGAGCTTATTTTTTTAATGCACCTCAAATAGGTTTGGGATTTGAACTCATTACAAAAGGAATCAAACAATATTTACGTATACATGGCAATTTACGCAATCACGTGCTTACCTACCTAACATAATATTTATAAATTAATTATAAATAAATCAAATTTCCAGTTCTCTCTTGCACTTACCGCATTATTAAGTCCGCCTGTGTACAACTTGTGCAAAAAGTTATTATAAAAAAATATCCTCTTAAATTGGCTGAAAGACTAGACTAGACATCGGAATATATACACATATGCTGTCAAACTATTTAATTAGTTATAACATTTAAGTAATTCACTACATTAAATATTTAAATGTAAATTTTTGACAAAATAAATATACAATTTCATAAACCTTATAAAATATTCAGATAAAAGTTCCGTTCAAGATCTTTAATCTTATTCGGATATCTCCGGACACTATACGTATATCCGGCACATCACTAGTATGATAATTTAGTTTCATTAATTTGTTGGACATTTCACTGTCTACCCTCAAGTAATTAAAAAAAATAGTACAAAAGCTGATTTGATTTGATTTGTGATCATAAAAGCTTTTATAAGTTTAATTTGTTTGTATTTTTAAGTCTTTATATTAGTTATACAAATATGTATATTTAAAAATTTTAAGTTTGTTTGTTCATAATCACAAATTTAAAGTTCTTTATCGATCGTTTTGAAATTTTTACACAACATTGTATTAATTTGCGGGCAAAGTTTTATTGAGTCAGAATCATCAATCATCAACAACCTCTACTAGTCCACTGCTGGACATAGGCCTCTCCTTAGAAAGGAGGTTTTAGTCAGGATACTCAGTATCTATATAAATGTATAGAAATCAAAGTTTATTGCTATTTTGTATGCTGAGGTAGTGTTTTATCATGCCATGTTGCATACCAGTTTTACAACACAGGACATATGCTACCCCTCATTCTTGTGGATGAGGGTTAGCCTATTTCTAAAAGAAAGGGTTGTTGAAAGTCATTGAAAAATATTTTAAACACAAGCAAAGCCACGGGCGTAAGCTGGTAATAATACAATCTTGTAGTAACATTTTTTCCTTACAAAATTAATACTGTGATTATTTAACAGCCTGTATCTATGTGGTGAGGGATTAAGAATACGTAATGTCACCACCCCAATTCATCCCGTGGTGGTCGTAAGAGTCGACTAAGGGAGCAAACTACGCAGGACAACAGCACTGAAAAGAGAAGGAAAACGTGAAACAAACCCTACATCAACCCGTCTGGCTAGCGTGGTGTAGTAGGCCAAAACCGTGGTAGGAGAGGCCTATGTCCAGCAGTGGACTGTTATAGGCTGTTGGTGATGATGATGATTGATGATGTTCAAAGCGTAATGTGATATTATTATAATTATTTAGGACCCTTTCGATTTCCTTTTCGCTTTCTATGTATAATGTGTATTTACAAAAAAAAAAAAAAAAGTATTCTATCAGTCAATCTAGCTCTGCTTAGTTTGAAACTAGATGGCGTTGAATAAACTATTGTTTGACATAAGTTGTTACTTTTAAATGTAAATAGTATCATTGTTATGATACATTTAACGAGCTAAATGGCTGTTTGTTCGCGCCTATCTCTGTAACTGCTCGTTGAATTTGAATATTTCTTTATGGAGAGGAGTCTTTGTGTCGATATTATGCGAAGATGCGATGTTTTATTGTTTCGTGATTGGTAGAATAACTGTATTAGAAAATCGTATTGCGTTCATTGTTACCTCTCTTCCATACAACTCTGTTATGGGCAGAGATAATTAGTTTTTTCCGGAAATGTATCCGGAAATAAATCGTTAGGAAAATAGGTAACTACCAATTTTTTATATTTATAAGGGAACGTACCCATACTTACATTATTGGGAGAGGTCTATGTCCAGCAGTGGACAAGCATAGGCTGAGGTAGGTAGGTACCCATACTACGTGACCCACTTTTTGAAATTTTTAATCAAATCCTCCCCCCCTCGGTGACCACGTGTAATATATTCCAAGACCCCTCCATCTCCCTAAAGTTTTCACGTAGTAATTCATAGATATGGTTTTGAATTTTTACTTGCTAATAAAAAGTTAAAAAAAAATTAGCTTATATCTTGCTGCGTAACGGCAAGAGTAAATGCATACCTATAATTACAAGTGGAAAAAATAAATAAAACTTATGTCAAAATATATTGTAACCAAAACTTAATTTATAGAAACAAAAGTCCTGTTGTTTTTATTATCATTTATTTTCCATCTCAATCATTTTCAAGAAATATTAGTTTTTTTTAAATTGCGCTCCATATTTGAATGTAGCTCGAAAAAAAGCGAGATTTCCCTTCCCCCGCCCCTCATTGTGACCAACCGTGGTATTTTGAAGATCCCCTCCCTGAACGGGTCACGTAGTATGAGTACGTTCCCTAATCTTAGGTATTATAGATTCACAGCATGATTCAATTTAAAAATGTCTATACAATAGTCAAAAACTATTGTCAGCTCAGTGTAATGCAGCTCAAGGAAGTAGTCTTCTGCCAACATCTTTTTAAATACACGGACGACGAGCTGTGTATCTAGTTTTTTTTTTGTTTTATACGGACACGTCCGTATACTTTTTTTTATTGTCAAGTTTATTATCCTTCTTAAAATAATTCCTGTTTTGTAAATTACTTTTTTTCCTAAAATTGTATGAATAACATACAATTTTAGGAAAAAAAGTAATGACGACGTCTGCAATAAGAGATATATGTACTTTGAAAGCCACTGTCACCTATAGGTATGTGTCAAACCAAAATAATTATATTTCGCGTTATGGTGCATCGTATTTGTGACATTGACATTCAAAAATACAATTAAATTAATTACTAGATTTTCCTCCCTTATTTTTCAATTAATTATTTCCATTAAAAAAAATTGTTTTATGCAGATGTCTATTAAACATATATTTTTGAGCAACCGCTAAGTAAACCAATTTCTGATTTGATTTTTCACACCATGGAGAGTTTTTCACAGTTCCTTAAAAATGTGGTTGGTCCACAGCCATGTTGTCACAATGTAGGTATATTTAAATGTTGTACAATGATTGTAAAGTTATGTGATATGATCATAGAATATATATTTTTTTCAATTTTTGTCTTTTATTTACATTTATTGTGTCTAATGATGGGACGGACATATTGATATTCTCATCCCTTTGTTGCCCGTGGAGTTCACCTAGGTGGACAATGGGAAATTATTTTTGTCCAAAGTTCACCTGGGTGTACCACGGAAAAACTAGTTTTGCCCATAGTTCACCTGGGTTGACCACGGGAAATTATTTTTCCCGTAGAACACTAATTATATTTATGCAACATTTAAGAACCAGTTGGGTTTTTCTTCGCGTTACCTATCTAGAAACACTTGGGTTACCAACACAAATCTAACGATATGTTTATTAAATAAATCCTTGCAGCGGTTTGGAAGATATGAGGTAATAAGGAATATTACATGCAGACAGGATACGCGTGAAAACATAACCCTTCCTTGGCAGTCGGGTAATAAATACAGTTTTCTACGATTAACCGTAATCTTTATTTTTAATATAATTAGAATTATTTTCAACAAAATATTTACATAATCAAATATTTTACTATGTACATAACAAAATTACTATTTCTTAACAAAATTAGGCAAGACCTATGTTAGAAAGATGACTATTTTTTTTTAAAGGACGCCTCTGTCATTTCATTAGCTTTTATAAGTTCTGCCTGTGGTATAGAGGTAGTGACTAGGTCTTCTCCGTTTGTTTTACTCCTGTATCACTCTCACTTGTGAAAATTAAACCAAGCTGTGCCAAAATTAAGAAATTAACTTTAAATTATAAATAATAATTATGATATGTATTTCTAATATTTGTCAAAAACAACCTTTGATTTGAATTAATAAATAAAAAAATATTTTTATGTGCAAACATTTCCCCCCTCACAAGGTATATATCTTGTGTCGCGGGGACCTATCAAACATTCATGAAACGAAAACAAAGAACACGCATGGACGCACAACACTCAGCGCAGTTGGAAGCGTCGACGTGAACGTTTAAACCACTAAACGCCATCCGTACAGTCAATTATTCATCATCATCATCATCATCATCAACAGCCTATACTAGTCCACTGCTGGACGTAGGCCTCTCCTTAGAAAGGAGGTTTTGGCCTACTATACCACGCTGGCCAGACGGGTTGGTATAGGGTTTGTGTCAAGTTTTCCTTCTCTCTGCAGTGCTGATGTTCAATTATTCAGTCGTCAGTTATTTATTTATATTTTAGAAATATTGACAAAGATAAATTACATTTCTGAATGAGAACAACGAAGCAGAAATATAACCGAATGGCGTAGTGGTTTGTGTAACGGACTGCTATTCCAAAGGTCGCGGGTTCGATTCCCACTTAAGTCAAACATTTGTGTGCATGAACATTTAATGTTTGATTTGGTCTGGGTGTTTCTATGTATAATAAGTATGTATTTACAAAAAAATATTTATATCAGTTGTCTAGTAGCCATAGTACAAGCTCTGTTTAGTTTGGGACTAGAGGGCGTTGTGTGAATGTGGTACAATATTATTTATTTATTATTTAAAGAGTGAAAAAGAACGAATATTCTCCGGTTTCTATTACGCACTCAGCAGTCGGGGATTTGACCCCCTCAGTGCTAATACACATGAATTAGTATATAAAAATACTAATCTTTATTAATACAGTGGCGTCCTCTACATAACAACTCTTATATTCTAAACGATCTAAAAATTTGACTAAGTAAAATTTAACGCAATATAAAGTTTAAAAATTTTCAGTTTTGTTTCGTCGATGTTTTATGAAACACCCAGAACAGATCACACTGCATTATATATCGTATTTATAAACTCAAAATTATGTCATAATTTTTTAGAGTGCACCATTTTTGACTATTATCAGTAAACTTCTGAAACAATACAATATAGTATTCTTTGACAAGCGATTCTGTACTTTATGGACAGAGTTAACTGCCTCAGTGGTGCAGTGGAAGCATATGCAACGGCTTTGCTGGGGTCTCGGGTTCGAAATTTGTATGATCTCCAAAAATTTGTTTCGGAGTGTAGGTGTTTTCTATGTATAATATGTATGTATTTATTTATAAAAAGTATATAAGTACTCTATCAGTCAATCTAGCTTTCATAGCACAAGCTCTGCTTAGTTTGAAACTAGATGGCGTTGTGTGTTAGATGTGCGAACATTAACATTATCAAAATCATATTTTTTTGACTTCGCTTAGTTACATTTAGTCTTTCTTGAAACAATTAATATAAATTACATAAATTCTGACTTATAAAGTAATGTGGATGTTGCAGCAAATCAGAACTTTGTTACATTGTTAGTGATTGGTTCTGATTGTATAAAATGGTAACACTATGTTTTATTTTATTTTAAAAACTATAACAAATATACTGAAACTGATGAAATAAATATTAAAATAGTAACCGTTGTCACCTGACTGCTAACAATAACCAGTTGCTCTCAGGAGTTGCAGGTGGACCGGCTACCATCAACAATATAAAGAAAACTGATTTCTTATTCGACGAGGAACTCTCGCCATTGATACATACATATACACTTACACACACACGACTACACAAACATTTAACTTTATATAATAAACTAGATGTTGCCCGTGGCTTCTTTCGCTTGCTTGTTGTGAAGATGACCAAACTTCCATTTAACTGTTTATAGCTTTTTGAAGTAAAATTTCTTTAGAATCACGATAAAGAAACACAAATGTATAGGATTAAGTCGGCGAGAGAATGAGATAGAATACATAACACATTATTTTTTAATGTAATATTTTGACAGTATGAATATTTTTATCTTTTTATTTAATACTAGCTGGTACCCGCGACTCGTGGAATTTGAAAAACGCTGCCTTAGTGGGTTCGATTCCCGGGCCGAGCAAAATTTTATAGGGTTTTTCTATGATAAAAAAAATATTGACAATTCTTCAGGAGCTCAGCATCACAGAGCGTCTGTCTACCACAGCACAGTCGCGCATACTGCAGTATTTTGGCCATGTCTCTAGACGGAATAACGACTCCATAGAGCGACTGGTGGTTCAGGGAAGGTTGGAGGGAACCTGATTCCTCGGCAGGGCCCATATGCGCTGGACCGACCAGGTGAAATCCACAATGTGAAGCCGCATAACCAACAATCTGCCAACAGGGAGAGATGGTAGGAGATTGCACGAAGGCCTGCGTCTGCCTCTACCGCTAACGTGGACCTCTCAATGTGACCAAGACCGATCTGCCAAGAGCGACACGACAGAGAAGAAGAAGGAATGAAATTGCCAAAAAGTCTTCTAAATCAGCATCAGCTGCCGAAATGTGAAGTTTGTAGACCCACCGGTTTGGGCTCTGTGTTGATGAGTTGGTTAGATGGAGTAAGTAATTTTATTTGTATGGATTATAGCATTTTCCTTTCCATGGAAGTCCATCTTATTTTGTTACAGAAAGATCAAGAACAGTTTATAGGAAAATTAATGTTTATATGACCGGTAACGACCAACGACGTGGTATTTATAAGGCCACCTTGATGGTGGACGGTCTCCCCTTGCTGTAGAACCTTCTGACTCCATCAACTATCTGTTCTGCGTGCTATATAGTTCTTGGGAAAGGCAGGACTATTTCAACTTGCCGATCCTCGGACCCTGTAAGCTATGTCGTGAATCTTCGTTCGTCTGTGTATGCCCTCGTTTCTGATTCTATCCAGCACAATAACCACAAGGGTCCTCCATCCATACACTAACATACACTTTCGTTGTTAGAAAAAGTATTCAAAAGCCTTTACACGTCCACTGCTGGACATAGGCCTCTCAAGGATGCTTCGACCTACTATACCACGATGGCAAGACGGGTTGGTATAGGGTTTATTTCAAGTTAGTCACGGCCCGGGGGGCTAACTTCCAGGAGGCGGCGCGCCTGGCCGCCACGGGAGTTTCCCAGGTGGTCGGGCGCATTGAAGCGTTGGGATTACGGGTGGCCCTGGATAAGACGGAGGCCCTATTATTCCATGGGCCCCGTCGTGGTCCACCCGCCGGCGCCTCAATCGAAGTCGGCTCGGTCCTCGTACCGGTCCGGGCCCAGATGAGGTACCTGGGTCTGGTCCTAGACGGTAGGTGGCTCTTCGACGAGCACTTCCGACAGCTTGGTCCGAAGCTGGTGGACACTGCCTCCGCCCTAGGGCGACTTTTGCCCAATTTGGGCGGGGCCAGTGTTCCCACGAGGCGGCTGTACGCGGGGGTTGTCCGGTCCATGGCGCTTTATGGTGCACCGGTGTGGGTGGCGGCTCTGACCGCCCCGAATAGGGCGCGCCTCTGGCGCCCCCAGAGGATATTGGCGGTCAGAGCCATACGCGGATACCGCACGGTGTCCACCGAGGCGGCTTGCGCCTTGGCCGGAACACCCCCGTGGGATTTGGAGGCGGAAGTGCTCGCCGAAGTTTATCGGCGAGTGGCTGACTTCCGGGCGGAGAGCGGATTTCGCCCTCCGCTCGAAGACGTGCGCGAGTGGCGCGAAGCCGCTCGCCGAGCCACCATGGTGAGATGGTCGTTCCGGCTGGAGACTCCACGCGCTGGCTTCGCCGCCGTGGAGGCTCTCCAGCCGGTCATCGCCGAGTGGGCAGGGCGGCAGCACGGGGCCCTTTCCTTCCGGCTGACGCAGGTGCTTTCCGGGCACGGTTGCTTCGGAAAGTACCTGCACTCGGTCGCTAGGAGGGAACTGAGTCCCGCCTGCCACCACTGCGACTGCAGTGAGGACTCGGCCCAGCACACGCTGGCGGTCTGCCCCGCATGGGCGGCGCAGCGCCGGGCCCTCACTGCAGTCATCGGAGTGGATCTCTCGCTACCGGCCGTAATTCGCTCCATGGCCGGTAGCGACAGTTGTTTTACCGCGGTCGCAACCTTCTGCGAGGAGGTAATCTCGCAGAAGGAGGCGGCGGAGAAGGCCCGGGAGGACGACCTCCACTCGGACCCGATCCGCCGCCGGCGAACCGGGCGGCGGAGGCCCGCCTACCACAGCCTCATGCCGCCCTGAGTGTGGCCGCGGGTGGACGGGGTGGGTTTCCCCTCCACCCGCATTAGTTGGCCAGCCGCGAGGGGGCGGCGTCCGCGTGTGCCGGACGTCGCCTAAAGAGAGGATAATTGAAGACGGAGCCCGCACCAGGAGCGGGCCGGCGCTGGGAGGGGTCCAGAAGGCGATAACTACCTGGACCCCTCCTAAACTGGAAGCGCAAAGAGGGCACACCGTGTGGTTTTAGTCGGTCCGAGTCCGACACACCACCCCGCCGCAAACCCCGGTGGGGTGACGGTCCGAGGGGATTTCCACACGTTAAAAAAAAAAAAAAAAAAAAAGGGTTTATTTCAAGTTTTCCTTCTCTCCGCAGAGCTGTTGTCCTGCGTGGTTTGATCCCTTACTCGGCTCTTACGACACCTAAGGGATAAAAAGGGATGGGGACACTCCATATTCTTAATCCTTCACCACTTTTAATAAACGCGTGCCATTACCACTGAAAAAATAATGATTTTCCTTCGGTTTGTCAGGAATAATAATAGTCAAGTTTAAGCATCAACGGGACCTGTCATAGACAGGAAGACTATACGTTCAATGCTTAGACATATACTTCGACCTTGCAGTCTTAGAGAGAGAGTCGAAGTAAAAATGGAAGCTATCATTTAAAAAAAAAACTTCATATTAAAGTGACAACAACCTACCAATCTGTGGAACAAGTTATCGTCTGCGTTATTTCCAGACCGATACGACCTTCAAACCTTCAAGAAGAGAGTGTACTCCTTCCTCAAAGGCCGGCAACGCGCTTGTGACTCCTGAGTTGAAGGCGTTCATAAGCAGCGGTAGTCGCTTTCCATCAGGTGACCCATCTGCTCGTTTGCCCATAAAAATAAACCTACCCAATAACTGTTTGCATAACAAACTTCTCAATTTCCATAAAACAACAATATGTTTCATAAGACGTTGAATTTGAATGTAAATACTTCTTAACGATATCCAAATCTTGCAACGCTCGTGACTTCTTGACTAACACCTCCCTTTCATCAGACTCCGGCTTCTCAGTGGCCAGGGGGAGTAGATCTGCTTTATCTTTTTCAGCAGGAGGTAAAGGTTCCACCACCTTGTGGTTACCTCCGAAGACAGAACCGTTAGTGCCCTGGCCGGTGACTAATTCTTCGTCTACCGTCAAATACTGATCTAAACTTGAAACGTTTGTATAATAAGACTCAACATCGTAGTCTTTCATCATATTGCACAAAACTTCTTCATCATTTTCATAAACTTTAGGCTTTTCAACTTGAACAACGTCTTCCGGGATCGTGACGTCATATCCTGTGTCAACGAAACTTTTAGTTATGGATTCAGGAGGAGTTCTTTCCCAGGCTTTTTCTAACATATATAAAGCTTCTAAACAAGTCAAATTTCTATCTACGCCCCTCAATACGTTCATAGCTTTATCTTCTATTATCAAACGGCGAAATTCTTCACGAAATTTGGCCGAGACACCGTTCTTCATCGGTATCAGACCGTTTGTCGCCTTCCATGGGACGAAAACTAGTTTCAAATGAGACAATTGTAACTTAGAATGTATCGTGGCCCTGTCCAAAACTAAGATGGCTTTTCTATTCTTCGCTTTGAGTTCCCGGTTCCAATATTTGACATACTCTTCAAACATTTGTGTCGTGAAGTGAGCCTGTGAATGTCTGATATAGGTAACAGGCAAAGTATCAGGGTCTCTATAGGAATGTATCAACGGGTCTTCGGTACCACAAACAAGTAACTTCCTTTTATCCGTGCCGGGCATATTAGCACAGAGGAAAACGGCCAACCTGTCTTGGACATACCCTTGAATATATTTTTTACCCGCTAATTTCTTGATACGACCTTTAGAAGGGTTGTAATAGAAGCCGAACTCATCCGCTGTATAAATATCCTCATCAGGAATACCTAACCTGGCATCGCTCCACTGTTCTTTAAAGAAATGGTTCTTCCATTTTGATTCCATTTGATGATTGGTATACTCCCTCTTGCACGGAGTACCTCGTAAAGATATATTATACCTTTTCTTGAACCTATCCAACCACTTCTTGCTCCCGTTGAAAGCAACAAACCCACATTCCTTAGCGAACGCTTCAGCTATATCTTGAAGCATTTTCCCAGACACCTGCACATGGTTGGCCCGTTGTGCATGAAACCAGTCCACTATTCTGGTGTCTAATATGCTGTTCATATACCTGGTGGTGCGTTTAGCAGCCTTCTTAGGCAGGGCATACTTCTCTCTATCTTCCCAGATTTCATTGACAATCTCCGGAGTTAAATTGTATAACCTACAGATGTCTGTGACGGACCGTCCCTTGTGCATCTTGCTGACGATGGCACACTGTGTTGGGTGTGTCAGGTCTTCTCGTTTAAGAGAGCTATTGTCGTCATCGAACAAATCAAACGGTTGCAATCTATATGTCTCTTCGTCTTTGTCCGACTGTGTGTTGTCTGGATGTTCAGTTTCTGAACTCTGATTTATTGCTTTGGCAGGACTCGTTGATTTTTGTGTTCTGTAAATAAATAACACACATAATAACACATTGCTGGTACTGAAATGCCTTAACATTTATATATATCGCTAGATAGTTGTTTATTTCAGTGATCAGTGGTCTGACCTAATGTTGGTGTCGCCACTATAAAAATTTAACATGATAATTAGATTGCTACCTGGTTCCCCGGTATACCTGGTTCCCCGGCTATTAGTACCCGAGACGGCGTGCGGTTTTAGTCGTTTCGAGTCCGACATGCCACCGACAGGTGGTATCCGAGGGGATTTTCGCACGGAAAAAAAAAGTGGGGAATTATTGCAATATAAGTGAGAAAGTTGAAGCCAGACCAGCTGACCAGATCTGGATGAAATTTGCCACAGAGATAGATTATAGTCTGAATAGCACATGGCTACTTTTTATCCTCGTTAAAATTTACTGACAAACCCGACTTTTACGCTCAAGGCTAGCAAAGTATAGTTACAACTTACAACTATACTTTTTTGTGTCTAAGTAGTGACTATTTGGAAAAGAGAAGGAACACTTGACACAAACCCTATACCCTCCTTTCTAAGGAGGGGCCTATGTCCAGCAGAGGACTATTAAAGGCTGTTGATAATAAAAAGTTGGACAATATTCTAGGGCAGTGACTGACCCTACTGAACACAGAAATGTGTGTCAGCCAATTATTGATCACATGCAACAATTACAACAACTTTCGACACCTTTATAAGCGACTGGCCTGTTGCTCTAGTGGTTAGTGACCCTAACTGTTGAGACAGAGGTTGTGGGTTCATCTAGTGTAGGTCCGTGTGGTGACGGATTAAGAATACAGAGTGTCACCACCCCTATTCATCCCGTGGGTGTCGTAAGAGCCGACTAAGGGAGCAAACTACGCAGAACAACAGCACTGCAAAGCGAAGGAAAACTTGAAGCAAACCCTATAAGAACCCGTCTGGCCAGAGTGGTATAGTAGGCCAAAACCTCCTTTCTAAGGAGAGGCTTATGTCCAGCAGTGGACTATTAAAGGCTGTTGAAGATAGTGTAGTTTATCAATAATATGTATGAATTTAGAAATATATAAGTATGTTTATCGGCAGTCTGGTTACCATAGTACAGGCTCATGTAGTTTAGGTTAGTTCAAGAATTAGTTAAGAGGCAAGGAGTAATAGTCCACTGCATGACATAACCGTCTTCTTAGAAAGGTTTTGGCCTACTATACTAAACGTCCTTTCTAAGGAGAGGCCTATGTCCAGCAGTGGACTAGTATAGGCTGTTGATGATTGATGATGATACCACGCTGGCCAGAGGGGTTGGTATAGGGTTTGTTTCAAGATTTCCTTCTCTCTGTGTAGTTAGCTCTCTTAGTCAACTCTTAGGACATCCATGGTATGACCAGGGGTGGTGACACTCTGTATTCTTAATCCATCAGCACACAGAATGCTCGCTGACCCCCAATACCATGAAAAAAAAAACTTGTAACTTACGGAGTAGAACCTTCACGTTTTCGTTTTGAATGTGTTTGTTTTGTGTGGTACTTTAGTTGGTTTATTGTGTGGAACTTTGCATTGCATATTGGGCACTCCTGTGTCCTCTCGTGGGCTCTGGCCATGTGTCGACTCTGCAAAAAAAGACAGTAATAATCCTTACTAATTTTATAAATGCGAAAGTGAATCTGTCTGTCTGTCTGTTACCTCTTTACGCTTACACCGCTGAACCGATTTAGATTAAATTCGGTATAGAGATAGTTTGAGTCCCGGGAAATCCATCCTTTAAGGAGGGTGAAAAGGGGGATGAAGATGGAGTTAGTTTTGGACATACACGCGGGCGGAGCCGCGGGCATAAGCTAATAACAATGATAAATTAGGCCGTATCACATCTAAAAGCAAACCTTAGTGATAAGCCTATTTATTTATACTATAACTAGCTGACCCGGCGAACTCTGTTCCGACTTAAAGGCCGATTTTCGAATTTAGTAAGTCAATTTTTGTCTTAGAAAAAAAATGAAGTACATTAATCATTTATTATTGTTTTTGCATTTCAGTACATAGGTTGCTCTTCACTTAAGTACCTTTTGATACACGACAATTTTTGTTTTCTTATCAGGCGCAAAAACCAACAACGCAGATGGTCTTCAGACCCGTGAACATGCCACATGTAATTGACCATGGGAAAAACATGGATGTTCGTAAAAAAACAAAGTTCGTAAATAACAAAAAAAATAAAAAAATAACACTGTCGAACGGAATAAATAGCATCCTATGTCCGTCTCCTGGCTCTAAGCTACCTCCCCACTAATTTTCAGCCATATCTGTAAAGCCGTTCTTGAGTTATAAATAGTGTAACTAACACGACTTTCTTTTATATATATAGATGACACAAAGAAATTATAATAATCTTACACATCTCACACACGGCCGTCTTCCACGGAGAGGCCTATGTCCAACAGTGGACTATTAAAGGCTTTTGATGATAATAATGTACGTATTTAGAACTAATTAAGTTCAGCAGATTGAGCAATTCATCAGCAGACTGATTCCCATAGCACAGGCTCCGCCTATTTTGAGCTAAGACGGTCGTGTGTGACATGTGTCAAGATATTGTTATTACTATTCCGCCGACATTAACCCGTCGTATAACTTCCGCGTTTCGACCACGGTCCGACCAGTAGATGCTCGTAATGTCGCGTAGGCATTTATTGTGGAATCTATCTAATGTTTGGGGTAATACGTTCCAGAGCCGTATAGGAGATTGGGCAGATTGCCATGTACACAGCTATTATCGTGGGAAGTTTTATGTCAAAGTAGCTAAAGTTAAGTCACATGTGGTGGGGTGGTCACACAACACAAAAAGAGGATCCGTCGACCCGGCGAGGTGATAGTGCCTCGCGACACAACGGTTGGTGTTGGGAAAGTTATATTGTATGTGTTATCGGTGTGAGAACTTTTCATATCGCGATAAAGAGTTTGCAGTTACTCCGTAGTTCGGCGTGTCTTCGTTAGATGGCGCTGATGTATGTTTTTGTTTCACTTACCAAATAAGTCTTATGGCTGAAATTGAGTCCGCACAAGGTACACTGAGGCTCCACCTTCTCCATGTGAACGCGCGCGTGCATTCTTAAGCTAAAGGATTTCTTGAAGTACCGACTACATACTTCGCATTTATGTCTGCAAGTTAAAAAATAATTGTTTATTGGTTTTTGAAGTCAAACATTTTATTACAAACTACCTATTTCTAGACCCTGAGATGCTTGTAATAATAATAATAACTTAACACATCTCAGTCACGACAGTCTGATCCCGAAATAGGCAGATCCTGTACTATGGTAACCAGACTGCTTATAAACGTACAAAGAAAAAATAATTAGGCTCATCACAAAATATTGGTCCTGGGTGGGGATCGAATTCACTACCTCCAGCTCAGCAGTTCGGATAACTACTTGAATAACAGGCCCGTCATGTTGTCTATAAGCTGGCCTATTGGTTTGTTTTTTTGTGTATTTGCACTTCTTTAAATGTAGTATTTTTTGTCATGAAATTTTGGAGCTTTTTTTATATATAGGTATATCAGAGGGCGACAAACAGACAGATCACCTGACGGCAAGTGACTACCGCCCATTGAATGCAACGTTAATAATAATATTTCGGACATCTTACACACAACGCCATCTAGTTTCAAACTAAGCAGAGCTTTTACTATTAAAGCTAGATTGACTGATAGAGTACTTATATACTTCTTGTAAATAAATACATACATATTATACATAGAAAATACTCAAACTTCGAAACATATATTTGCAGATTATACAAACATTTGATCCAACCTGGCGATGGAATCAATAACCCTTATGCTACCACTCCACCTACTGAGAGAGAGAGAGTGGTTTGGGCGCCAGTAATCTTACACATTTGATTCACTTGCACTCAGAGTTATTCTGAACTAGTACTTTGATGTATAAGCAACCTTCAAACTCAACACCTCCCCTGCGGCAAACATGGCATACACATGGTATAACTTTTTCATTGCTCATAAAACACGAATTTCTTTTTCTATTTACAACTACAGCTACAACCATGTTGTGTTTGTTGTGATGTGTCTCTTAGAACCGAAAATTTTAATATAAACCTACCATGTGTTTAGGCTTCAGGGTATTAGAGGTAGGTTAATATTCAAGACATCATCATCATCAACAGCCTTTAACAGTCCACTGCTGTGCATAGGCCTCTCCTTAGAAAGGAGGTGTTGGCCTACTATACCACGCTGTTACTAACTATTAATTAGTAAGGGGCTCAGGGCTATGTGGTAACCGAGTACATTAGCAAATGCAAAGTTAAGCAACCCCAGCCAGGTCAGTCTATATGGGTGACCATTCTTCTGTACAGAACTTCGATATCACCTAGTACGTGGTTTGTTGAAGTCTAATCGCAGTTGCTCCCCATAAAAATTTAAAGTACAGCCATGTCGGCTAAGGATGATAAGGCTCGGAAGATGATTAACTATTAACCTAAAAATAATTGTATCTTCACGGCTATGAACACTACCTAGTTTTGACTTGGTGTTCCAACGAATGTGTCTTCAAAGCACCAGCAGTGTCAAATTCTGCATCACAATCATTGCAAGCAAAGGTCCTGCCTTTCTTTGTCTTCAATTGCTGCTGCTTTTTCTTTTGCCTTTTCTTCAGTTTCGCATTCTGAAAGTTTTATAAACATGACTTACTTTAAATCATACGTGAAGTGAGTTAGGTATCAGTAGAATTTACAATACATAAAAAATTTATTGTCATCAACAGCCTTTAATAGCCCACGGCTGGTCATAGGCCTCAAAGGAGATTTTGGCCTACTATACTACTCAGATGGGTTGGTATAAGGTTTGTTTCAAGGTTTCCTTCTCTTTCAGTGTTGTGGTTTTTGCGTAGTTTGCTCCCTTAGTCGGTTATTACAACACCCATGGGCTGAATAGGGGTGGTGAAACTCCGTATTCTTAATCCGTCACCACACAGAAATAATAACAATATTACGTTGTTACATAATTACAATATCTAACTAAATTCAACAACACTATTAGAAGCGAAAGTATTTGAGTGGTGCTAAAGTGGTTCTATCCAGTTTTTGGGAACTCACTAGGGGAGGCTTAGTCCTATAATTGAAAAAGATGATGATGTTTTTTAATAAGGTTTGGAACAAGCTTCTAAATTAAATTTGTGTTGGTGTCATGTAAAATTCGAGGCGTAGATATGTAAATCTCATTGTGTTTTAAACAATACACTTTTTTTTATTAACACCTTATTATTATTATTTTTTAATGTTTTATCAATAAGTTGTATTTATATTTTTTTTGTAAACGGGAGTCAAGGGTTAAGGCTGAAAACCAGCGCTTGATAATCCATGTGAAGTCCAAGCATAAGCCAATGCTTAGACCTTTTGCTTTCGGTATTATAGTTTTTCTGTATATTTCTACAAAGTGCTGTAATGCTGAAATCAATAAACTGGTATTCTATTCTTTCTATTCTATTCTCAATAGCGCATTCAAAGTGTAAAGTAAATAAATTAAGGTTGTGTGATTGTGAGAGATATTTGGATATTTGAGTAAATTTAATGTCCATCATAAATATTATTATGCGTAAATTGAATTATTTCAATATTGCTGTCATACTTTGGTAAACTCCAGTGGACAGTCGTCATCCATTTCTTCTACTTCCACTGTGACCAGTACTCCGGCCATTATGGACTCTTCGTCGCTGTCCTCAGGTTTAAGTTTTTTATCAACATCTTCAGTTTCAGCCTTACGTTTTACAACAGATAGGCACTCATCATCTGATGAACTGTCGATATAAATGGAGCTATGGGCTTCTGCGTTAGCTGCCATACCGACAGATAGTTGTGTCGTCACTGATTTCACATTAATATTATCAATACTATTGTGATAAAACACAAGTTTTCAACGATACAAATAAAAATAAACACTGCATTCCGTCAAACTAGACGCCATTTTCGAACTGTCAAATTAGAAATTTGCAAATATTAGTATTTACAATTTATTTATATTTCACTAGTTTTTATTAATTATAAAAATAAGTATATTAAAAGATAGATAGACAGACATCAACCACCAGAGTTAAAACTTCCTATAAAGAGATAAATCTAAATCCGAACAAACTACAATAATATTTTACATTGGCAACAATGCACATGTCAAGAATAAAAAAAGTTCGTGCTGTCAATTAGGGGTGTCCACTTAAAAAATATATCGATATTTATATTCGATGTAAAATATTGGATCCCAGCATCGATGTTTATCGATATATCGCTAGAAAACATCGATATTTTTTCACTATCGAATACTTTCCACAAAAATTTAATATTACCTTTTTCCAGTGAAACGCACAAAGTTTGTGGTCCTTGATTTTGTAAGTATGAATGTAGAATTAGAGACCAGAGTAACATAGCTAAACTAGTAGTGTAATACATATAAAAGATCATTATATTATATCTTCAATATAAAACACCGTCACAAACGAGTAATGGTTAGGTTCATAAACATAATAGAAATATAATATTATATACCTTTTCAACTTCGAACTAGCAATCAAACGATAGGTCAAATCAGTTATTTTAGAGTAATAAATTGTAGTAGCAAGTAAAATTCTTACATAAATTTGTCTTAGATAAACAATTAAAACAATGATTTATTTGCGTTACCGCCAAACAGAAGAAGACGACGCAAGAAGAGTGAAGTGAGTGTAAGTAAATATAATGAACCTATAGAATCCACAGACTATACATACATTGAGAGTGAATAGTCGATCGATCTGTCAGGATAGATTAGATAATTAAGATGGTCACTCACAGATGTCACTATCTTAATGAACCTTATTTAAAATTGAAGGCATCAAGTAGTGTTAAAATTATTTAGTTCGTTAATAGATTCGACAAGAAAATAAAAAAAGCAAATATTCGATGTTTCTATAAATAAATATATCGATATATCGAATACAATAAATGTTAGTCAAAACATCGAATCAATCCGATATATCGTACGGAATACATCGAATAAATTCGATATATCGATGTTAAGTGAATATCCCTACTGTCAATGAACCACCAGAAAAAAACCAACGCGCATCGCTTCTCTTTTGGAATTTATGGTACTGTAACAAGGCTCGCTTTTGTGTTACCGCTATAATTTTAACGTAAAATCAACTAAAGTAACGCGTAAACAATGCGTGATTAACGTTGCACGTAATATTATTGTGCATTTACGCAAATTTGTAAGCAAGCGGTCGTTATATATGGATCAATATCACACTATACTTAATATGCGCTGAATAGCGTGAGCGTCGGTCGTCGGTACGCCAAATGGAGACCAAATCCGGCGTCGGTATACAAGACCACTGGATGAAGAGTATGATGGAGCCAGCGTCCAGCGACAAACAAGATAATCGTTCATCTGTAAAACGCGAGAAAATGGCTGAAGCTTACAACGGTGGTGAAAATGTAACTTACGAAATGAAGCAGCAGCAGAACGATACGAGATACCGATGCGACGTATGCGATCTGACATTCGAAGGTATGGAGTACTTGATACTTCATAAAAAATTTCATGGCAATGACAAAGACTCTCCCATCATGGAGCCCGACCCTCCCCCGGTTAAAGAAGGCCCTAAGAAGAGACGGAAGTTCAAGTGTGATCAATGTGATGTTAAAGTCAATTCCCAGTACCATCTCGATATTCATAGAAGTAAACATGAAGGTGTTTTATCCAAGAAGTACATATGTGAAGTCTGCGACCGCAGTTTTGTCGCTGCCCAGTTCCTTAAAAGCCATATGCAAACTCATTCAGCTACAAGTACTATTAATTGTGAGATATGTAACAAAAGTTTTACTGGCCAAGCTTATTTGAAGCTTCACATGCAGTTACACAATGATATTAAAAAATTCAAGTGTTCTAAGTGCGATGATATGTTACCCACAAAAAATTGTTTGAAAATCCATATGAAAAAGCATTCTAAAGTTAAAAATTTCAAATGTGATTGCTGCAATAAGCTTTTTGTATCTAAAATAACAATGGAGAAACATAGACAAACGCATGAAGGGCAGCCCATAGACTGTCACGTGAAGTGTGCACAGTGCGACAGGACTATGCACGCCTCCTTGCTAAGAACTCACTTAACGCGCGCTCATCCTTCCAATCTTGACGATGATGTGAAGCGTCCACATAAATGTACAACATGTGGCAAAAGCTTCATTGTCAAAATTAATCTTAATCTTCATATCAGAGTTTGTCACCCAGATCTAGCGGAACCAGAAGATGAGGAAGAAGAGATCATGACAGATAACTCTTAGTTATAACTCATGTATGCATAGATTATTGCTACACATTACATAATTAAATGATATACTTTTTTATGCTAAATGTTGTTTTTTTTTCCTGTTCATTGTGTAAAGAATATTTTGAATTTATTCTATTAATTTCGTTTTTTAAACTAAGAAATTTTAGTTTTTCATACTTTTCCTACTCAGAACACCTACACTATTCTAACACAAACCAATGGTTTTTTAGTCGAATGGTATCTAACTTTCCATTTGCTTGAAGTTTAAACAAAGTTAAACCTATAAGGCAAGAAGAACCATCTCTGTATGAAGTGTCCTTCAAAATGTGTTGAATTGGGGGCGCTACAGTAGCATCAGGGTAAATTTTTGAAGGAAGCGCCAAAAGTTGTTAGGATAGAGAAAATAAACATTGTAAGTATTTAAACTCAGCAAACTTCACTCTGCCTTTAACTGCTATTGACTGCTATGTTCACGTCTTCCCTTTGGCTACACTAGCGCCATTCTGGTCGGTTTTAGAACTATAATAACTATTAAATGTTGCATTTTGGTGTACACTTTTTGGATTGTCTTTTATGGAAGATGTGAAGATGAACCTAATCCTTGGTAATGTAAAGTAATGCAGTTTTTGTTGCACTAAACTAAATACTATCTTTGCTGTTAATCAAATGGAACTCTTAAAGGATAGAAGTGCTAACAGACTGACTATTAATACACTTTAAGCTCATTAATGACGTTATGTTTTCCCATAGGAAACTGCATATTATATACCTTACCTACTCTTGTACCTCGTTGGTTTTTTTTTATATATTTTGGTTTCCTTTTCCCGGAATTCATCGCTGTCGAAGTGTAATCCATAGTATATCAGGCGGTTGTCCAGTCCGAACAGAAATACCTGCAGAAGGAATGTAAATTCCTTCAAATTATTTAAAAGTAAAAAAAATATATTTTTTGATTATTTATTTGATAACTTAGAATGGCGCAACTTTACATAATTCGATTTAAAACTCATCCAAAATTAAGATACATGCATATTTTTACCAAGCTAGTTATAAAATATAACAAAAAAAAAAAAGATGATAATATATAAAATATTATCAACTTCAACTTTTGTTTAATGGCTTGGTGGTATTAGTATAGTTATCTCTATGATAGTGTTATGGATTGAAGGGCAAGGAGAACCATCTCATATGAGGGAAAAGTTGCAAAAGTATACTGAAATTAGAGTTCGCTAAAAACGAAAACGAAAAACTACGATATGAACATTGCTGTTGAAGACGGACTGAAGGGTGCTGAATTCAAATATTAAAAATTTTCATTACTAAAAAAAAGGCGAAAGATTTATACGTTATGAAGGGAAACCAGAGTTAATTTTCATTACTAAACTAGTTAGTAAATTGCCAGTAAACAAAACCTCATCTATTTACGTGATTTTATAATTTTATCTTATTATAATTACTTTTGGCGCTTTCTTCAAAATGTATCCTAGGCTACCGCAGCACCACCCTTCTTGGACGCGTTTTTACGGACACTTCATACAGAGATGGTTCTCCTTGTCTCTACGCTCCATAGATAGTGTAAGGGCAATTTTGCCAATATCATGTAAAAGACTTCAACTTTTGGTTAATGGCTTTGTGGTAGAGTGTAACCACAATTTCGCCAATATCATGTATTTGAAAGACAAACTGTCAAAGGATTTTATGTAGAGCTGTGGTAGAGCCAAAAAAAAATTTTGAGAATGAAAGAATAAGAATGAATAAATTGTTATCTTTTACAGGCATGATAAAACTTAAACTAGTAAAATATATATACAGCTAATAACATATATACATATACAAAATAATAAATAACCAGTAAAACAAAAACAAATATTACAAAAATAAAAAATAAAATAATTAAATGGTTGACTTTTACATAAAATATTTTATTTAATTTTTAAATTAGCAAATGCTCGTCATCATGATTTGACAATTTTTTTCTAAATTAGCGTTTACTTTAATATTCTTTTACAGCTTCATCAGTTGCCGCTTTTTCTGCAGCCTCCTTTTCCGCTGCAGCCTGTTTGGCACTCTCCGCCGCTTCTTTACCAGCTTGCTGAAAAAAATACTTACTTATTTAAAAAATATCGTTAACATATTGCGGTAAGAGAATTACTCATTTCATTTTCTAATACATTGTGTATGAAACCTGACATTGATGAAGAGCAGAGCTGTGACTAAAAACACAGGTAAAACTATGGGAATTACTAGTTTAACACAAATTTGAGAATTTAAAATGAACCCTGAAAGCCTTTCTCGACCCTGAATGACTCTGACCAAGGGTTGGGGCCGGCGTTGAGTAGGTACACGCTTGCCAACCACCTTATTGGAACTTTAGTATAAGCTATGAGAGGGTCCAAACTGTAAGTCCAAAATGTCCAAAAGAAATTGGTCACGTTTCCAGAGATACAATCCTGAGTTAATGTAGGTATGGACCAGCTAACCCACGCAACTTTGCTACGTCACATAAAATAGAATTTTTAAATGACAGAGATATGCTGTGTCGGACATTGTTGAAGTGAAAACTTATATAGGCGCGTTGGGCATTTTTGAACAACAAAAAAATAATGTATTTTTGACACCTCTGTATATAAGTATCTACATATTAGGTATATTGGCCCCGTTTACACGAGAGTTGAGTTAGGGTTGAAATACATTGATAATATAAACATATATTGTGTAGGTATATACGTATAGGTATATTCATTGCGGAACTTTTCGAATCGAAAAAAACGAAAAAAACCTGTTATAATAATTAAAAAAAATCAAACAAGTTTTCGCTTCTGCCGGCACTCCCGGAGTGCTACTCTTTTTTTAGTAGTTTTTAAGAGGAACAACTCCCTCATACTCGTAGCAAAACTTCAACAGTTTACGCGGCGCACGCAACGGAAGCTCTCAATAGGTATAAAGCCATGTTTATTAAGCCAAATAAAGCCATATTAGACCTAGCTTGATGTTTTATAGGCCTGGTTTATATTAGTCTGCCACGATTAATAGGGTATACAACACTAAATCAATTCGAACCAGTAGTTGATGAGATTAGGGCGTTCAATCAAACAAACCAATTCTTTATCTTTATAATTTCACTATAGATAAGCTAAACGTTGATACAATGTTATCTTACCGCAATTCTCTGCATCTCCTCGTTCTTCTTATCCTGCAACGTCGCACTGACCTTCCTGATGAGGTCTAGTTCGTCCAACGCCCTCTGAGGCAGAGGATCGAAAACTTTTACAGGCTCCTTGGTCACGTCAGACAGCCCATTAATAAACTGGTGGTATCGTTGTAGGAGCAACGCTTGGCGATCTGCCTTAATTCCAGTGTATTTTAAATCAGACATTTTTCTGGAAAAATGAAAATCACATTGATGTCATAGTTTCATCATCAAGTTTGTGAGTGTCTGTATATTTGTTATTTCTTCTCGCTCAAACCGCTGGACCAATTTGGTAAAATTTGGTATGAAGTTAGAGACGTGCTGGTTTTTTATCCCGAAAAAATTTAATGATCTAAATACTAATATGTACTATAATTTAAGTAAAAGAGTTTTTCCAGTTCTGTTTTATTAACGTTCAACAATGGGTTCTTTAGAATCTTGAAGTACGACGCTGCGACGTATGTATTAGGGGTTGTGTCGTCATGCACCCTTATTGTTAAATGACTAACGTTCGGTGGCACAAGTAAAAATTTCTAATAACAAAGATTCTTCCTAGAATTCACCCCTTCCCTTCCTTCGCTCTAGAATTTGAGGGGGGAGTTAGAGCAACGTAACCTCACTAGCTCTCTGAAAAGCAACCCCTTTTTATTAATCAGAGGAAGGGAGATTTGGGCTCTGGTAACCGCACTTATTCGCTGAAAATCAACGAATTAATTGGTTAACAGAAGTTTTCTGTGAGGCCTAGGTAGCACTCCGGCAGAGGCTTCCAAATTTGTGCCGCATGGCTCTCCCAAAAGGTAAAAAATTAGAAAACTTAATTTCTTGAAAACTGTCACATAAACTCTTTTGACGGAAGGCATCGTTGTAATAATGTTATTTCTTTTTTTCGGATTCAAACTTAGAATGAGGTTTTAAATTATCAAAAACGCCATCGTTTTGTTTTTAATTCCAATTTACAACGCGTTTTGGTATTGTTGTAAAAAAATGGTAGAAAAAAGTAAATAGTATAAATTGAAAAATAATTTATTAATGTTCCTCCATCGAATCAGTATAATTTTATTGTATAACTAGCTGGAGCCCGCAACTTCGTTAGCGTGGATTTTGAAAACCGCTGCCTTAGTGGGTTTGATTCCCGGACCAGTCAAAATTTTATAGGGTTTTACTGAGAGAAAATTTAGCCTAAGTTACTCCTTATATAGACAATATTATCAAAATCAGACAGGCAGACAGACAAAAAATATTTAAACTTGTTTTTAGGCATAGGTATCGTGCAAATAACCGTATGACCATGAAAAAAAACCTATTATTTAAAATTACCAAAGACACTTTAATTTTATTTATTTGTATATGGACTTACTCGGTAGTGACGACGAGACCTGTGAACCGTATATTGATTACTAAATGCAACTATAATAGCTAAGTCGGAGGCGTACCCCTACAAATTACTCCAATATACGTTATATAGTCAGGGTTCATAAACAGTTTCATGATACTGCTTCGATACGGCAATTAATGGAAGAGAGGTATTATTGAGCACTGAATACGATACTAGAATGTCTTTAAAGACACGGAAAAAAGGTCTTCTTCATTTCATTCATTTCTCTTTTATTACCAAAAAGAAAAGTACAAAATATGTGACACATTGCCGGTGGGGCCACACTAGGCAAGCCTGTCCTGTGGGTGCCAGTTGCGATTACACATTTCGCTGTACATTATTGTTCGGTAGACATTACATTGTCGTTTTCAATTTAAAGTATACAGTGTTACTTGCTTATATTTGAGACAGCAATCTATTTCCCCCGAGTATGCGCTATATAAATTAAAATATAACGTAATTGCATTGTGGGTTCTAGATGCAAATATACATTACTCAATACCCTTTGGAGGGGTTAAGAATACGGAGTATCACCACCGGTATTCATCCCGTGGGTGTTGTAAGAGCCGACTAAGAGAGCAAACTACGCAGGACAACAGCTCTGCAAAGAGTAGGAAAACTTAACACAAGCGCTATACCAATCCGCGTGGTATAGTAGGCCAAAACCTCCTCCTGCTGGATATATCCAGCAGTGGACTATTACTTGCAGCACCATAAATAGTTTTAAGAAATTGTTATTGTCAAGAACCAGAACTGTTCTGAGTATACACATATTGTTATTACTTAACAATTGTATGATTCTCACCTACAGAACTCAAATTTCGTTCATAAATTGCATGCATTGAGTAATCATCAACAGCCTTGGATAGTCCATCGTAGGACATCGGCCACTCCTTAGAAAGGAGGTTTTGGTCTACTATATCGACGGGTTGGTATAAGGTTTGTGTCAAGTTTTCCTTCTTATATAGATTAAGTTTTCCCGACTTCCTAAATCGATTAATTTCTCAATAAAAATATCTCTACTTAAATCTGCAGAAGTGAAACCACTCATTACGTAGAAGAAAGCTACGCAACAGTGATGATGATGATGAGAGCTACTACTAACGATAACCGCTGAACATCGAACTGTTTGGCTAACTTAATGTCATAAGCAAGTGGCGCCGACTCAAAAATCTTTGCACATTTTCTTAAATTTTAGCCAAAACACTCTCGCTCAAGTGACTTTTCATTTAAAACATACTACATTTAAATTGCCTCATTTATTTATTTTCATCCTCATCACCTGGATAGTGTGCGCTCCAATACTGTGCGCTTTTGAAGACACTTTTTGCCCCGCACAACCAATCTGTGGAATGGGTTATCGTCTGCAGTATTTCCAGACCGATACGACCTTCAAACCTTCAAGAAAAGAGCGTACTCCTAAAAGACCAGCAACGCGTTTATGACTCCTGAGTTGCAGACGTTAATGGGCGGCGATGGTCACTTTCCATCAGGAGACCTGTCTGCTCGTCTGTCACTTCTAACATAAAAAGAAAGTACCATGTTAGAAACAGAGACGTTGATACCCAGATACATAAACAATCGAAAAACATCGCTTCCTACTACGCCGAGTGTTGTGGGTCCGATCCCCACATGGGACGACACTTTGTGTGATTCACAAATTGTTGTTCTGAGTCTGGATGTTCTTTGTGTCCGTTTCGTGTATGTTTGTAAAGTCCCCCGCGACACAGGATGTATTCCTAATGCGGGAGTTGTCTTTAAAAAAATAAAAAAAAACATCACATCTCCCCTTATGCGTTGGAATTAAAAAAGTAAAGCTTCATATAATATTACTATCTTTATGGTTGGTTCACGACACCGAAGGTTATAAGGTTATGCAATAAATGAAACAAATTTTAAATATACGTAAATCAATTTGCATCAAAACAAAGGAATCATTATTAATTGATTCACTTTTAAATTGTGTTTACACACTGTTTGGGGTTTGTATTTATACGTTTCGGAATATTAATTATAGTATATAATTATTATGTGAGTGTTGAGCTCAACATCTCGACTTTTGTCGGTTTTATAAATACCCCGTCCCGTAACACACGGGAAAAAAGATATCTATGTCCCCAATAACTTCAAATTGATAAAGTTAGATATGAATTATGAGAATAATTTACTGTAATTTAATTTTTAATGTGTAGTTTCATTGTATGAGAGGAACCTAACTAGTGTGTGTCTGTCGTGTGGTGCGTGTTCTCCTTCCTCGTCCTCGTCCTCTCCCTCTTACCCGTCGTATGCTTAATGTATGTTGTGTGTCCAGTGTATGTGCTATGTTGAGTGGGTCTAGAGTGTCTGAGGATTGCGGTATGTCTGGCGATTGTTGCGAGCCCTGTGGTTGTGGGTCCTGTGACTGATGCATGTTTTGCGATTCCTGGGTGTTTTGTGTATGTTGGTCCTGTGTGCTGTGTATGAATACCGTATCTCCCAAAACTTTACTGAGTATGGTCACTGTGTGTATGGCTGCTTGTTTTTGAAGGATGGTTATGTCGATGTTGGCTCCTAATTTATCTATGTATTTCTTTATGCTTTTAACGACTATTCCAGTTGCGCCTATAACTATCGGAATGACAGTCGTTTGTGTATTCCACAGGCGGGTGACTTCAGTTTTCAACAGGTGGTATTTGCGTATATAATTATAATTATATTATCCATCGATAGTTCACCTATTACTATATGAATATTGAGTGATGAGCACTGTCATTTGTTCTGTTTCTGGGTGTAACTTATCTATAATATGTATCTATTTAAAAATATATAAGTATGTTTATCAGCAGTCTGGTTACCATAGCACAGGCTCTGTCTAGTTTGGGATCAGACGGCCGCGTGTGAGATGTGTGAGATATATATATATATATCAGCCAGTTATCTAGACCGAACAGAAACATCTGTAGAACGAATGTAAATTCCTTGAAATTACCTAATTATTATAATTGTTTCTAACTAAAAGAAATAGGTTTTGTGCTTACATTATTAAGACATAAAAACAATCTAAGATCTCATGATTATTTATTAAATATTTAATTTAGAATTGCGCAACTTTACATAATTCGATTTGAAACTTATTTAAAGTCGAGACAGAGTTGTATATTCCTTCCAGATTAGTCAGGAAATATATATATTTAAATTTTAGTTATGGTAATAGTTGTCATCATGATTTGACAATACATTTTTTTTTAAATTAACGTTTAGTTTAATATTCTTTTATAGCCATGTCAGCTTTTTCTTCAGCTCCCTTTATCACTGCCTCTTTAGCATTCTCCTTAGCTTCTTCAGCGGCTTGCTGTAAAAACATACAAATTTAAAAAATATAGTTGACTTAATTTACGGTCATTTCGTTAAATTCATTCAAAGTTCATTTAATTTTGTTACTGTAATATACTGATTTATAACTATTGCACATTGTTGTTTTGACCTGAAACGGACACAAATAACACCCAGACGCAGAACAACAATTTGTGGATCACACAAAGAGTTGTCCCATGTGAGGATCGAACCACAACACTCAGTTGGAAGCGGCCAGGTGACCGCTTAAACCACTACGCTATCCGTGCAACTCAAGATCGGCTGGATCATTTTTTGCCGATTTATATGGAAGCTGTAGTGGCAGTAACTGGCCATATTAGCCGCAGAACCGACAACCGTTGGGGAAAACGAGTTCTTGAGTGGAGACGCGACCGAGAGTATGAACACCATGTAGGGATGTATTTACAAATAAAAGATAAATGTATTTATATCAGTTGTCTAGTAGCCATAGTACAAGCTCTGCTTAGTTTGTAACTAGATGGCGTTGTGTGAATGTGGTACAACATTATTATTATTATTCTCACACACGGCCGTCTGATTTAAATCTAGACTGAGCCTGTACTACAGTGACTAGACTGCTGATAAATATACATAAATATTTCTATAAATATATAATAGATATTTTAGATAAATTACAGGCAGACATATAACAAGTGACCATGCTCATCACACAATTATTTGTACTGGGTGGGAATCGAACACACTACCCCTCTGGCCCAGTAGTCATGATCACTGCTAGTAGTCGTACTCGTAGTTGTTCTGATTAGCGCGTCCAACAAAACAAACAAATTGTTACTTGAACTAGAATTGTACCACGACAAGTCAAAATATAGGGTATATCTGACTTTTATAGCTTTATGTACCCCATATTGTTTAAAAAGTACTGTCACTTTTTTCATATTTTGCAAAAAAAAAACCTTAGGTATTTACATAATTAATGAAATATTCGTTTTGTCCAACTGGCCTCTTCGATCTCAAATTATAGTTTTTAGTTGGGAATGCTGGGCGTTTATTTCATGTTTCGAATTTAATGTTTTGTATGTTTTCGCGCCATTTGATTTGTCTTTCACATCTTTTGGTGCACAATACGGAAAATTTAAAATATCTACGTAAAATAATACGAATCTGTCGTGCCAATAGCGCTCCCGAAACAGTTAAAAATGAGTGGTGGGCCAAGAGTGAAAATATTTCGTATAGTCGGTGAAACACCCAGGTGAACGATAGGCAAAAAAAAAGTAAACCTAGGTAGACTACGCAGGTGAACCACGGGTATTACCCCAAACTTTTTAATATGTCATAGATAGATTTAAACATAGAATATCAAAAAAATATCTTACCATAACCTTCTCCATATACTCATTCTTCTTCTCCTGCAACGTCGCGCTGACCTCCCTGATGAGTTTGAGTTCGTCAAGCACCCTCTGGGACATTTCGTAAACTTTCACAGGCTCCGGGTTTTTCACATTCAGATTGTCAGTAAACTGGTTGTGACGTTCCACTAGGCGCTGATCTGGTTCTATTAATACGTATCTTGAGTAGGACATTTTTCTGGAAAATATATAAATACAATATAATAATAGACTATTTAGGACAGATTGGTGGTTGACATTGAAAGCAAACAGAAAGAAAAACTAAAACAGAAACATGAGCTAAGGTCAAGCAGATATAATTATTGACCTATTTCTTAGCGTTTCATGGATTCGCGCGTGCGGGTGCCGGTCCATCCATCCATGCCATCGTGTGATAGATGGGGCAACACATGCGACTTCGATAGCGCCGGGGAATTGCGACCCAGGAGTAGGTTTAGGGAGTACTCCTTGCGACGCGCCAGCGCACACCTCCACTGTCTGCTGTTACCCGCTCTACCTGACCATATTTGATACGAGCTTAGCAATGCCGCTTTGGAATTCGTTCAAGAAAAGAGAAATTTCTAGGTGTGTATGATATGATGATGATGATGTCATCCGTCGATGGCGAACCCTACTGTAGATTGCTGTTATGGGCTCGGATATGGATGGTGAACCCGAATTTGGTCTTAAAGGTCCTGTCACATAACACACAATGCAGTTGACCTGCTGAGTTATAGGTGTAATTATACACGGGCTGGGGTCTTGTTTTTGCAATTCACCGTTTAGAGTCCATGCTTTCAAAGCGGGTTGCTTCGTATTGCTCAATAGCCTGATGGACGGTCATTTGCCACACAGATCGTCGTTGAGCGAGCTCTTGCCAGTCCTCACACGGAATGTCACATGCTGTTAGGTGGCGCTTCAGGACGTCCCTGTAACGTAAGAACTGTCCCTCCGGCTTGCGTTTTCCCCGAGAAAGTTCGGAGAAAAAGACTCATTTGGGAAGTCTTGAGTCGCTCATACGTACTGGATGACCACACCATCTCTGGTGGCCCCCATTAGCAGAGATTCCATGCCCATCATGTATGTATCCTTCATGTATATCATCATGTAAAATATTTGTATGTATGTATCCATGTTCTTACTTGCTCGTATCTTCTGTCCTTTACTCAGTACTCTTCTATGCTCTCTAATGTAACTACTCTTCAAAGATTCTTTCTAGAATTCCCTTCCCTCTAGAATTTGAGTTGGGGAGTTAGAGCAAGGTACAACCTCACTAGCTCTCTGAAAAGCACCCCCTTTTTTATTAATCAGAGGAAGGGAGATTTGGGCTCTGGTAACCGCACGTATTCGCTAAAAATCAACGAAGGAATTGGTTCATCATCACACATCAACAGCCTATAATAGTCCACTGCTGGACATAGGCCCCTCCTAAAAAAGGCGGTTTTGGCCTACTATACCACGCTGGCCAGGCGGGTTGGTATAGGGTATGTGTAGGATCTCTTGGTCTGTATTTAGTAACATGATCCCCCTTGAATTTAAAGAAATTATTATATTTCCTAACAAAGATTGATACTTCAAGAACATACTTGCAGGTCAATGTCAGCAAATTATGTTTTTTAAATAACGGTTTACAAGAGTCAAGTGGACTCACTCCACAAACAGCTCTTAAACATTTCTTTTGGGCAATAAAGGCTTGATCAACATCAGTCGAATTCCCCCATATTATTAACCCATATCTAAGGATTGAATCTACGTAACCCTAATAAGCTACAAGTGCAGTCTTTTCATCAGACACGGTACGAAGCTTTCTAAGGGCGTAGACAAATCTACTTAGTTTGAGGCAAACATCATTTATGTGTTGTCTCCAGTTACAAAATCTATCCAGAGTTATACCTAAAAATTTTATACTGTCAGCTTCTTCTATAGTATTAATTTCTATCTTTATGTTCACGAGTATGTTATTTTTTGAGTGTTTACTTCTATTCGTACCAAATTTTATAAGTTTTGTTTTTGATAGATTTACATTTAATTTGTTTGCTTTTAACCATTCTAATACCAATTGTACTTCTTTACTTATTTTAGTTTCATGAGATGTATCTTTATACTTATATGGCACTATTATAGATATATCGTCTGCGAAAAGAACACTTTGACAATTAATTGAATCTGGTAGGTCGTTGATGTATAATAAGAACATTAAGGGTCCCAAAACGCTACCTTGTGGAACGCCATATCTATTGACCTTGTATGGGGATCTGTGTACACTGCATTCGTTACTATCATTTAAACTGGTGATTTCAACACATTGCTCAAGATTGGTTAGAAAACTTTTAATCCAGTCTAAAGCTACACCTCTTATACAAAAATTTTCGCATTTGTTGAGCAAGATCTCATGATCTACAAAGTCAAAAGCCTTAGTCATATCAAAGAATATGGCCACCACTGGAATTTTCTCATCAACGTATTCAGTTATATTTTTAATAAGAGTTATAACAGTTATATAATAACAGTTATATTTTTAAATCAACCTCTTTAGCAGCATTCTGCTGCTAAAGAGGTTGATTTATTGTGTTGAAAACCATTCTGTTCATTTTTAATAATATTATGTTTATTTGACGACTGGATGGCGTAGTGGTTTGTGCAACGGACTGCTATTCCAAAGGTCGCGGGTTCGATTCCCGCTCAAGTCAAACATTTGTGTGCATGAAAATTTGATGTTTGATTTGGTCTGGGTGTTTCTATGTATAATATGTATGTATTTACAAAAAAAAAGTATATATGTATTTATATCAGTTGTCTAGTACCCATAGTACAAGCTCTGCTTAGTTTGGGACTAGATAGCGTTGTGTGTATGTGGTAGAATATATTATTTAAGAATTCAATTAATCTGCTGTAAAAAATCCTTTCAATTTTTTTTGAAATTATAGGTACAAGAGTAATAGGACGATAATTATTAGGTTCCTTTCTATCACCTTTCTTATGCAATGGCTTAACAATAGAATACTTTAGTTTATCTGGAAATATTCCCTGAACCAAGGAATTTGTGATTAGATGGTCAAGAATTGGGACAATGACACTAGCACTTTCTTTAATTATTTCTGTAGAAATCGAGTCATATCCTACAGCTTTGGTGTTATTTAATGATTTAATAATATTTATAATTTCAAGCTCTGAAGTGGGTTTCAGGAATATTGATTTAGCATTAGCATCTATTTGTATTTTTTTTATGTTGTTTGACAGGTGAGAATGAAATATTTCCATTACTAACATTAATAAAGAAGTCATTAAATAATGTTGCTATTTGAGTTGGATTATGAATAATTTTTCCGTCATTTTGTATTGATGTTATACTGTTGACCGACTTGACACTATTATTTTTATCTTTTATAATATTCCAAGTGGCTTTTAATTTAGTTTTTGCTCGATTAAGTTGTTTATTATTAATATTTTTTTTAGACCACGTGATGCATTTCTTTAATATTTTGCCATAAGCATTATATTTTTAAGTGCATCTTGTTTCCTATATTTATAATATGTAAACCTTAGTTGTCTTTTAATGGCACTAGCTTTTCTCAGGCCTTTAGTAATCCATGCAGGAGATTGATTATTTGAAGTAATTTTAGATTTATAGTAGGGAAAACATAACTCATAATATAAAGTAAGTTCCTGATGAAAAATACTAAATGATTTATTTACATCTGATTCCGTGTAGACTTCATGCCAAGATAATTGTGATATGTAATATAATTTTTTTTTTGTTTTCTTCACTGAAATCCCGTTTTTTAACGTACCAATAACTTGAGACTTTCTCACACTTTCCTGGAAATTCTAAAACTTGCGCTGTGTCGTGGTCAGATAGATAGAGCCGATGTACTGTTCCATATGCTTCTTCGTGATTACTTGCTATGAGATCTATACAACTATTTTTTCGTGTTGGCTCGTTAATATGTAAATTAAAATTAAAATTTGAGAGAGTGTTTTTTAAAATTGTTGTATATTTATTTTTTAGCAGTATATTAATGTTTAAATCACCTGTTATTATGATTTTTTTATTTATAATTTTGTACCTTAGTTTATGCAAAAGTATTTCTAATTTATCAAAAAATGAACTAATGTTAGATGTAGGTGTCCTGTATGAACAAATTACTATTGTATTTATACTGGGGGTTTCTATACCGCAGCATTCAAAAATATTATCACAAGAACATTCTTTACATACTTCTATTGGTTTGCAGTCAATTCCGCAATATGTTAGAATGCACGTACCACCACGCTTTTGTTTTTTTCTAGAATAGTAACTGCCAACTGTATATCCCTTAATATTAATATTTAACTCATCCCCTCTTTTTATAAAAGTCTCACTAAAACATAAAATCTGTATTGGATAGGAATTTTTGGAAAGTTCAATTAGAGGCAATTCTATATTGTCAACTTTATTTAGAATACCTGCAATGTTTTGATGGAGTAGTCTTATTTTATCCCCCCTTAATTCCCTTGGCTTAAGCATAAAAAACTCTCATCGTTAAATACTTTAGAAGTTCTAGTTGAATTACGTCGAATAATAGGAAAATAATATGGGATAGTCCCTTTCACATTTCTTGTACCCGAAGGGGCACCGTTAAGTAACTTACGGTTAATATTAGAAAGATAATTGAGTATTACTTTATTTGTGCTAGAAGGAATATATTTAGTTTTATAGTCTGTTGTATCTATGGTTAGATTAATTAACCTGCATATATGACCCTGTAAGTAGTGATAGTTATAGTAATGTTCATTTAAATTAGATATATCCAAATAATGTCAATTTTTGTAAGTTTGACATGTGAACTTTAGAAGTCTATTTAATTTTACTTTATTTAGGTATCTATTTTTATTAACGCTTAGAATTATTACATTACATTTGGTCAAAAAATTCTAAACTATTCTTAAGTGAAATTGGATTTGGTTTGGGTTTGAGTCATTTTCACCAATACATAGTATTACCCAATGTTTTTTTGATATTTCCAAGCTATAGCATGGTTTCAAGGACTCATTACATTTGGCAAACGGTTTTATAAAGGAAGATATTTCGTATGTTTCGTAGTTATTTGTATCCCTCGAAACTGTTAGTTTTTTACAAAGACCCATACATTGTTGTTCTCCAATAATGAATATTTTTCGGTTTTGTACACTTGTGTTTACTAAGCTTTTAGAGTTATTCTGTGGTGGATTGGGACTAGAATTATACATTGTCGTTACCTGTACGCCAACGTCACATCCTGTTGCATTTTTAGTATCTGGAAACCCTTCAGATGCTGGTATTTCTGACATATTTTTTTGTTGAATGTGCATGTCACTGGTGTCGCCATCTGTTGGTCGATTGTCGTAATCTGTTTTGAGCCCAAGATATCCAATACTCACATTCGAATTTTTTTCTTGTAATTTTTGTTTTTTCTTCATTTTTAGAGAAGCAGTAGTTTTGCCAGTTTGTGGCGAGCCCGCAGAAATTTGTTTTAACTGTGGGATTTTCCGTTCATGTTCATTAATTCGCTGTTTAAGATTGCTGTTTTCCGAGTTTAAATTATCTATTTTTGCATGTGCTATTTGAAGTTGTTCCTGTAATTTTAATATTTGTTCTTTAAAGTACTCAGAGTCCTCGTCACATAGCTGTGCAGTAGATAGATCTGGTAGGCTTCTCGCTAAATAGTCTGAGGCGGTCGATACGAACGATATGTTTAGTGATTCATTTAATTGTTTGGTTCTTTGAGAACGAAAGGTAATATTCTGGTACTCCATTTCAGTCATTATTAATTTTCTTCCTAGATATCCTGTAAAGTTATTCAATGCCCTCTTTCGGCTAACCACAGTACCATATGAGCATTACAATGTTATGATATCGATCGATTGTAATATCCATTAGTCCGACTAATGCACATACATAATATTTCCAAGTAGTGTTTAGTGTATCAAATTTTAATAATCGAAATTCACAATATGTATTTGTATTTGTCATAAACTCAGAATCAAGTTGTTATTTCGCCAGCACCATCTAGTGTTTTTTCATATGAACTGTTGTGCTTGATGCGGTAAAATTCAAATGTAATAACGAACAAATGTTTTTAAAACACATATTAATTGATTTTTTGAATTTCCACTGTAAAAGTTATTATAGTTTATTGAAATGTGACTTTTGTACTATTTTTAAAAAGTTTTCAGCGTTTTTAGCTACTGTTAATTTGAATTCACTTTTTTTTGTTGGCAAGTTAGTTTTACACTAATTATTGGTTTTGCACTGTATGTAAATACTCACTAATAATAGTTGGTAATTATCAACTGTTAAGGCACAGATTTCTAATATTTACACACTTTATCACATTAGTTAAGTATTTTAAAACAATTTTTTAACTGGGAGTCGATGTTAGCATGGCAACTAGCGCTACCTTTTTTTCTGTAAGGCCTAGGTAGCACTCTGGAAGAGACTTCAAAATTTGTGCCGCATGGCTCTCCCACAAGGCAAAAAATTATAAATAAATAGAAATAGAAACGCCATCGTTTCGTTTTTAATTCCAATTTGTAAATTGCGCGTTTTGGTATTGTTGTAAAAAAAATGGTAGAAAAAAGTAAATAGTATAAATTGAAAAATAATTTATTAATGTTCCTCCATCGAATCAGTATAATTTTATTGTAAAACTAGATGGAGCCCGCAACTTCGTTAGCGTGGATTTTGAAAACCGCTGCCTTAGTGGGTTTGACTCCCGGACCAGTCAAAATTTTATAGGGTTTTACTGAGAAAAAATTTAGCCTAAGTTACTCCTTATATAACAATATTATCAAAATCGGTCCAGCCGATAGACAGGCAGACAGACAAAAATATTTAAACTTGTTTTTAGCCATAGGTATCGCACAAATAACCGTATGACCATGAAAAAAAACTATTATTTTAACATTACAAACAGACACTTCAATTTTATTTATTTGTATATGGACTTACTCGGTAGTGACGACGAGACCTGTGAACCGTCTATTGATTACTAAATGCCACTATAATAGCTAAGTCGGAGGCGTACCCCTACAAATTACTCCAATATACGTTATATAGTCAGGGTTCACAAACAGTTTCATGATATTGCTTCGATACGGCAATTAATGGAAGAGAGATATTATTGAGCACTGAATACGATACTAGAATATCTTTAAAGACACGGAAAAAAAGGTCTTCTTCATTTCATTAATTTCCCTTTTATTACCAAAAAGAAAAGTACAAAATATGTGACACATTACCGGTGGGGCCACACTAGGCAAGCCTGTCCTGTGGGTGCCAGTTGCGATTACACATTTCGCTATACATTATTGTTCGGTAGACATTACGTAGTCGTTTTCAATTTAAAGTATACAGTGTTACTTGCTTATATTTGAGACAGCAATCTATTTCCCCCGAGTATGCGCTATATAAATTAAAATATAAAGTACTTGCACTGTAGGTTCTAGATGCAAATATACATTACTCAATACCGTGTTCTGACGGATTTAGAGTACGGAGTATCACCACCCGTATTCATCCCGTGGGTGTTGTAAGAGCCGACTAAGAGAGCAAACTACGCAGGACAACAGCTCTGCAAAGAGAAGGAAAACTTAACACAAACCCTATACCAACCCGCCTGGCCAGCGTGGTATAGTAGGCCAAAACCCCCTCCTGCTGGATATGTCCAGCAGTGGACTATTACTTGCAACACCATAAGTAGTTTTAAGAAATTGTTATTGTCAAGAACCAGAACTGTTCTGAGTATACACATCTTGTTATTACTTAACAGTTGTATGATTCTCACCTACAGAACTCAAATTTCGTTCATAAATTGCATGCATTGAGTAATCATCAACAGCCTTGGATAGTCCACCTTTGGACATCGGCCACTCCTTAGAAAATAATAATAATAATAATAATATATTTATTTGTCAGAATATGGGTGTACAGAGTTGTTAGTAGGTACGTTTTAGATGCTAGCCACATTCTACTATTATCTGGTGAACAAAATGTTAGTATAGTGAATTTACTGTTTTTTTTTACAATTTAATCATGCATTATTTAGTAATATAGTAATAATTATGTCACAATTTCTCATCGTCAAAAAAATCTTTGACACTGTAGAAACATTTATCTAAGAGCAACGTAAATAATTTTCTTTTAAAAACAATGATGGTATCTTCCTTAAATCTATTTGGTAGGTTGTTATAAATGTGTATAGCCATACAGTTTACATTCCTACTATACATACTTATTCTTTGTCTAGGAACTAAGAGTTTATGTGTATTTCTGCTTGACCTGGCGACAGCGTCGTTATGTTTACAAAATAGCCGTTGATGTTTGTGCACAAAAACACAAATCTCGTAAATATACAGACTAGGTAGAGGTAGTATGTTGTATTTCTTCAAATGCTCTTTGCAACTATCTGTTTGCTGTAAGTTGGATAGTGCTCGCATACATTTCTTTTGCACAAGAAATGCCCTATTTGCCTCAACTGAATTGCCCCATATTATAATCGCATATCGTAGTTTTGACGACACATAGCCGTGGTATGCACTTAAAGATGTGCTAAGAGTCGATATTTGTTTAAGGCGATATATAGCGTAAACAAATTTATCCAAATTCATGCAAAGGTTCTGAATATGCTGCTTCCAGTGTTTTACAGTATTACAGTGTTTGTCTATTGTAATGCCCAAAAATTATGTCGCATCCACTTCTTCAACTACATTATTATTACATTTAATATCTAATTTAATGGGTTTACTATTGTATGTCTGAAATTGTATCATTTTCGTTTTATTAACATTTATTTTAAGGTAATTACATTCTAACCAATTGATAATATTAAACAGTTCATTGTTTATCTTATTCTCTAAGTTATTTTTATGGCTATCTTCTATAATTAAGGTAATGTCATCGGCGTATAGTACGCATTTATGCTCAGTCACATTCGGTAAATCGTTTATATATAAAATAAACAATAAAGGCCCTAGAATACTCCCCTGAGGTACCCCAGGACTATTTAGTCGTTTAAATTCGGATCTAGAGGATGTATTATATTTACCAGAAATGCTTGATATCTCTACACATTGATATCTGTTATCTAGGTAGCTTTTAAGCCAATCTAGTGCTCTTCCACGGATTCCATATCTCTCAAGCTTATGGAGTAACAATTTATGATTTACAAAATCGAAAGCCTTGGACATGTCAAGAAATATTGATACTATGTTATTTTTTATATTGAGATTGTCAGTAATTACTTTCGTTAAAGTAAAACATGCCAAGGCAGTAGAGTGTTCTTTTCGGAAACCGTGTTGTTCAGGTGTGAGAATGTTATTTTTTTCTAAAAATCCATATAATTTAATATGCATTACTTTTTCAAATAATTTTGAAAATATTGGAATCAACGTAATGGGTCTATAATTATTCATGTCATTTGTATCGCCCTTCTTATGCAAAGGTTTGACAACCGATAGTTTTAGTCTAGCAGGTACGTGTCTCTGCATAAGTGACAAATTAATAATATAACATAAGGGAGCAGAAATTATTTTGGCGCATAATTTTAAGATGTCAGTTCTGATGTGGTCATAGCCTGTCGAATTAGTGTTATGTAAAGAGTTAATAGCTTTAAAAATGTCAAAATCATTTACAGGAGTCAAAAAATGGTATCAAAATTATTATTAATTATATAGGGGTAGGTAGTTATATTCGAAACATTTAATTTTGGGACAGAGCTTATAACTGGGGATGTCAAGTTTATAAAATAATTATTTAACTACTGTGCTATTTGGTTCGGATTTGAATATTCCGTACCATTCAGTTTTATTGACGCTATGCAACCAGTGCCCCGTTTATCGCACACATTATTTTTTCTAATGTTCCACGCTGCTTTACACTTATTATTGGCATTTTTGATGTAATTCAGACTTTCAACTTTCTGTGCTTGATTGTGCTTCTTTTAAACGCTTTGCTATAATTAGAATATATATGTTTATGTTTGTTTTTATTTGTCCTAGAGAACCTATATTGCAGATAGAGACGACGTTTATGCTTACTAGATTTTCTAAGTCCCTTAGAAATCCATCGGCATTTAGTCTTTTTAGATATTTTAACAGTAATAGTTGGGAAACATAGATCATAAAATAAAGTAAAGAGATCGTGAAATACATTAAAAGCCTCTTCTGTATCATCACATGCAAATACTTCGTTGAATGAGAGGGTAGATAGACATGTAATGAATTTCTTAATGTAAGCTTTAGCGAAGTCTCTTTTTTTTTCAAACCAAAACAGATTTTGTTTAGGTATATTACAAGTGTGTTCGAAGGATATAGTTTGAGCTGTTTCGTGATCTGATAATGCCAGCATAAGTATATTGGGTCTGACGGAGGGTAAATTACTCGCTGTAATATCAATACAGGAACTTTGACGAGTCGGACATAATACGTGGTTTTTTAAATTAAAGTTATCTAAAATGGCTTGCAAGTCTTTCGTATTTTTTTCATTTGTAAGCATGTCAATATTCCAGTCACCACACAATATAATATTCTTACCTGCCCTTTTTAATAATTTTAATTATATTCTACCACATACACACGACGCCATCTAGTCCCAAACTAAACTAAGCACACTTTTGCACACTAAATTTAGAAGGCATTGTAAGTTTTCTAGGAATATCTGGGCATTCTTATTTGGTATACGATATATACATACTACGAGTAACTTAAGTGATAATAGTTCTACTGCACAGTATTCAAAATGATAAGGAATCGGTTGTATTTTGAGGGTAGGTATTTTATATTCATAGTGTTTCTTTACCAATATACACGATCCTCCTCTACATTTATTTAATCTGGAGTAGGCTGTTGCTAAATTGTATTGTTTTAAAATCAGATTTAATTCCGTACCCCTTTTCATAAATGTCTCCGTAAGACACACTATGTCTATATTGCAATTTAATTGATCTAAGATTAATTCGAATTTATCCTTTTTTGAAAGTATACTAGCTATAATTTGATGTAGAAGCGTGCATGTATTTGTGTTAGCCACGAAAAAGATTAGTTGTATCTGGTAGGTTACCTGGCTTTTGACTCAAAGGTAATCCCGTGATATCCTTTTTGCTAATGCTGAAATATGAGGTAATTTTTGTTTGTATATTTCTCTTGGTTGATTTTTGCGACCCAAAGCTGTTGTTTATTTTGCTTCGTAGATATTTTGAATTAGCTACATTTGTTTTAATCCTATTCATAATCTCCTTCTGATAGCAGCGATGATCAATTTCAATGTTTAGCCTAAAGCACAATTGTTCTATGTAGGAATTATGATACATTAATTCGTAACTCCTATTGTTATGGAAGTAACTATTACAGTTAGATATTTTTATGTATTTACAATTTTTGTAGTTGCTTGTAATTAATTCTATCTTATCATTAAGCATATTTTCCTTTAAATACGGATTATACAGAACATTAGTAACAAACACTGAGTGGTACCGTAATTTGTATAATACATTACATAGTTCCGATATAAAGTTATACGGATATTTATCGTTTGAACCAACAGCTACAACAATAATGTCATTTGGTGTAAGATTATTTATAAACGTATCACTGCAGCTACTTAGGATCTGAGCAAAGGAGGTTTTGGTATAGGGTTTGTGTCAAGTTTTCCTTCTTATATAGATTAAGTTTTCCCGACTTCCTAAATCGATTAATTTCTCAATAAAAATCTTTTCAATATCTCTACTTAACCATCTGTTACCATCGTTAGGAAAGCTTTTAGAACGTCTTGTAGTGCCCCGGCTTCTGCCCGGTGGAGTCCAATTTCATGATAGACAATTTGGATTTACGTTGGGTAAATCGACAACTGACGCTGTTATATCGGTTAGAAAGTTTGTCACAGTTTCAAAATTTCAATACGTGCTGGCTATTTTCTTAGATATATCTGGCGCCTTCGACAACGCATGGTGGCCCATGCTGTTGCTAAAATTAAAATCACGGTTGTGTTTTAAAAATATTTATTCCCTTATCTCTTCGTACTTTTCACAAGGTACAACTAAACTAAGACTTGGTCATCATTCTGTGTCGAAGGCGCTTACAATGGGATGTCCTCAGGGATCGGTGCTAGGTCCATACTTGTGGAATATCGGCTTCGACGATTTTCTTGCGATACCAATACCATCCGGATGTACTCTGAACGCGTATGCTGATGACGGCTTATTACTGGTGGAATCTGATACTAGGGCGGGGCTTGAGAGATTAGCCAATAGATGTTTGAACTTGATATCTCAATGGGGTGAACGTAATCGCTTAACTTTTGCACCCAACAAAACCTTCCAGTTACTTTTAAAAGGTAACCTCAAATCACCGCCGAGCATTAGATTCGACAATGTTACTGTAAAAATAAAACCACAGTGTGTTATCTAGGATTAGTTTTAGAAAGAAACTTTTCATTTATCGAACATATTAAAATAGTTAATGAAAAGTCTAAAAAGAGTTTCTGTGCATTGACAAGGATATCAACTGCAACATGGGGTCTATCATTTAATACATTAAAGATCATATACGGAGCTACTTATTTAGGTTCTATGTGCTATGGTGCACCTGTATGGGCCGATAGGGCGACCGTAGGCGCTGTCCGTCGCAAACTGTTACAAGGCCAACGACTTGCACTGATATTTTTATGCAAGGCATATAGGACGGTTAGCACTGAGGCTTTGCCGGTGTTGGCGGGTGTGCTTCCGGTCGATCTCGAGGAGCAGAGACGTGCAGCCATGTACTATTCAAGACAAAACATGGAATGCGATTTCTTGGGCGCGCGGGATCGCGGTAAAATTACAAGATTGCTTCAACAGCAGTCCGATGTCTATAATGACCTCATAGACGAATGGCAGCAACGCTGGGACGAATCATCCAAGGGGCACCATCTTTACCAATTTTTTCCATCTGTTCGCGAACGGTTGTCGAGGACATGGCTTGAGTTGGATCACTGTGTCGCTCAATTTCTTACGGGTCATGGTAACTTTAAGAGCAAGTTGTACTCGTATTCATTTAAATTAGTCGAGTCACCATTGTGTCAATGCTCAACACCTAACTCTCACTATGAACAGTCTGCTCATCATATCCTCTGGGAATGTGGTCTTTGGTATAATGAACGTAATATAATGCTGAATAGCTTGCAGGTGACATCTGGGGCGGTATACTATGGGGATCTTGTGTCAACTAGGGTGAATTTCCGTGCGTTTAGGCGATTCTGCCATACATATTATAGAAATCAAATATAGCTCATGTAGGACCCGTAATATTTTGTGGCCGTGGTGCTTCCCTGTTTAAAAGGGTGTATGCCTATTTTACTTCATTTTGTCTCCCGCTTTGCTAAGGAGGGAAGTGGATTTACTGTATTTCCAACTCCTCCAATTTTCTTCTGATTAATTTCGTTGCGGGTTCCAAGACAGTTTAAATTCTTCCTGGGACTTCCCGAGTGTCATAACTCGGTGTGTTACAGTGGTGGGCGTGTGGGTGGGATTAGTCCCAATCTCTACTTAAATCTGCAGAAGTGAAACCACTCATTACCTAGAAGAAACAGTGATGATGATGATGAGAGCTATTACTAACGATAACCGCTGAACATCGAACTGGTTTGCTAACTTAATGTTATAAGCAGGTGGCTCCGACTCAAAAATCTTTGCATGACTGCACATTTTCTTAAATTTTAGCCAAAACACTCTCGCTCAAGTGACTTTTCATTTAAAACATACTACATTTAAATTGCCTCATTTATTTATTTTCATCCTCATCACCTGGATAGTGTGCGCTCCAATACTGTGCGCTTTTGAAGACACTTTTTGCCCCGCACAACCAATCTGTGGAATGGGTTATCGTCTGCAGTATTTCCGGACCGATACGACCTTCAAACCTTCAAGAAAAGAGCGTACTCCTAAAAGGCCAGCAACGCGTTTATGACTCCTGAGTTGCAGACGTTCATGGGCGGCGATGGTCACTTTCCATCAGGAGACCCGTCTGATCGTCTGTCACTTCTAACATAAAAAGAAAGTACCATTTTAGAAACAGAGACGTTGATACCCAGATACATAAACAATGGAGAAACATCGCTTCCTACTACGCCGAGTGTTGTGGGTCCGATCCCCACATGGGACGACACTTTGTGTGATTCACAAATTGTTGTTCTGAGTCTGGATGTTCTTTGTGTCCGTATCATGTATGTTTGTAAAGTCCCCCGCGACACAGGATATATTCCTAATGCGGGAGTTGTCTTTAAAAAAATAAAAAAAAAACATCACATCTCCCCTTTTGCGTTAGAATTAAAAAAGTAAAGCTACATATAATATTAACTATCTTTATGGTTGGTTTACGACACCGAAGGTTATAAGGTTATGCAATAAATGAAAGAAATTTAAAATATACGTAAATCAATTTGCATTAAAACAAAGGAATCATTATTAATTGATTCACTTTTAAATTGTTTGATCGGAGTTAATTTATAGCCGCGACATTGTAGCTGTTTGGGGTTTGTATTTTTACGTTTCGGAATATTAATAGTATTATAGTATATAATTATAGGATTATCCATCGATAGTTTACCTATTTACTTATAATTATTGTGTGATGAGCACGGTCATTTGTTCTGTTTCTGTGTGTAACTTATCTATAATATGTATCTATTTAAAAATATAGAAGTATGTTTATCAGCAGTCTGGTTACCATAGCACAGGCTCTGCCTAGTTTGGGATCAGGCGGCCGCGTGTGAGATGTGTGATATATATATATACTAGCGGACCCGACAGACGTTGTCCTGTCAAATTTGACACTGCGATGGTAGCGCCATCTGTCTGATCCAATGTAAAACATTCCAAAATCAACAACTACTAATAAATTAAAAATTAATTAAAAAAACATTGTCCAGCGGACAAAATTGTGAATCTAAACCATTCCCAGATCCCCTTGAACACACACAAAAAATTTCATCAAAATCGGTCCAGTCGTTTGAGAGAAGTTCAGTGACATACACACTCACAGAAGAATTATATATATAAAGATATATCAGCCAGTTATCTAGACCGAACAGAAACATCTGTAGAACGAATGTAAATTCGTTGAAATTACCTACCTATTTATAAGTAAAAGAAATAGGTTTCATGCTTACATTATTAAAACGTATAAATAATCTAAGGTCTCATGATAATTTATTAAATACTTAACTTAGAATTGCGCAACTTTATATAATTCGGTTTGAAACTTTTTAAAATTGAGACATGTTGTATATTCCTTCCAGATTCTTTCCTTCCAGATACATTTTTTTTAAATTAACGTTTAGTTTAATATTCTTTTACAGCCATGTCAGCTTGTTCTTCAGCTCCCTTTATCACTGCCTCTTTAGCATTCTCCTTAGCTTCTTCAGCGGCTTGCTGTAAAAACATACAAATTTAAAAAATATTCCTAGTTGACTTAAGTTACGCTCATTTCGTTAAATTCATTCAAAGTTCATTTAATTTTGTTATTGTAATATACTGATTTATAACTATTGCACATTGTTGTTTTGACCTGAAACGGACACAAATAACACCCAGACGCAGAACAACAATTTGTGGATCACACAAAGAGTTGTCCCATGTGAGGATCGAACCACAACACTCAGTAGGAAGCGGCCAGGTGACCGCTTAAACCACTACGCTATCCGTGCAACTCAAGATCGGCTAGATCATTTTTTGCCGATTTATATGGAAGCTGAAGTGGCAGTGGGCTGGCCATATTAGCCGCAGAACCGACAACCGTTGGGGAAAACGAGTTCTTGAGTGGAGACGCGACCGAGAGTATGCACACCATGTAGGGATGTATTTACAAAAAAAAGATAAATGTATTATATCAGTTGTCTAGTAGCCATAGTACAAGCTCTGCTTAGTTTGTAACTAGATGGCGTTGTGTGAATGTGGTACAATATTATTATTATTATTCTCACACACGGCCGTCTGATTTAAATCTAGACTGAGCCTGTACTACAGTGACTAGACTGCTGATAAATATACATAAATATTTCTACAAATATATAATATACATTTTAGATAAATTACAGGCAGACATATAACAAGTGACCATGCTCATCACACAATTATTTGTACTGGGTGGGAATCGAACACACAACCCCTCTGGCCCAGTAGTCATGATCACTGCTAGTAGTCGTACTCGTAGTTGTTCTGATTAGCGCGTCCAACAAAAACAAATTGTTACTTGAACTAGAATTGTACCACGACAAGTCAAAATATAGGGTATATCTGACTTTTATAGCTTTATGTACCCCATATTGTTTAAAAAGTACTGTCACTTTTTTCATATTTTGCAAAAAAAACCTTAGGTATTTACATAATAAATGAAATATTCGTTTTGTCGAACTGGACACTTCGATCTCAAATTATAGTTTTTAGTTGGGAATGCTGGGCGTTTATTTCATGTTTCGAATCTAATGTTTTGTATGTTTTCGCGCCATTTGATTTGTCTTTCACATCTTTTGGTGGACAATCCGGAAAATTTAAAATATCTACGTAAAATAATACGTATCTGTCGTGCCAATAGCGCTCCCGAAACAGTTAAAAATTGAGTGGTGGGCCAAGAGTGAAAATATTTCCTATAGTCGGTGGAACACCCAGGTGAACGATAGGCCGGGCACGCCGTCATCGCGGCGTTAAGACCCGTTATGGAGGATTGGCTCGAGAGGCGTCACGGGACCCTCTCATACCGATTGACGCAGGTGATCACTGGGAAGGGATGTTTCGGGGATCACCTGTGTCTGATCCGCAAGGAGCCAACGCCTGAGTGTCGCCGTGTCCACGGTCTGGCCATCGCAGTGGTGGCACTGCGATGGCCAGACCGTGGACACGGCTCTCCACACGCTGGCAGAGTGCCCGGCGTGGGTTGAACAGAGGCGAGACCTCGTGGCGGCCATCGGAGTGGGAGTTCTCTCGCTCGATAGCCTGATTGCGGTTATCGTGCGGAGCGAGAGTTCGTGGAACTCTGCCGTCTCCTTCTGCGAGCAAGTTATGCTCGCGAAGGAGACGGCGGAACGGGACCGGGAGAGGTTTAGGACTCTCCCGGCCCGCCAGGCCCGGGAACGGGCTAGGTACCGCAGGCGACTCAGGCGCCGGAGGTCGCAGAACGACCTCCGTCCTCCATAAGCGCAGGCCTGGGGGTGACAGGTGAGGCCATCTGTCACCCTAGCAGAAGCAGGCCGGGGTGGCGGCAAGCGCGTTGCGAAGCGCGCTCGCTTCCAGGGAGCACAGGGAACATGGGGTTCCCACACGGGAGGGGGTCGTCTACTCGTCTGTAGATGACCCGAGGTATGTCGGGGCACCAGGGACTTCCTTTCTAGGGTATACCTGATTCCCCGGCTATTAGTACCCGAGACGGCGTGCGGTTTTAGTCGGTTCGAGTCCGACATGCCACAGACAGGTGGTATCCGAGGGGATTTCCGCACGGAAAAAAAAAGGTGAACGATAGGCAAAAAACCCAGGTAGACTACACAGTTGAACCACGGGTATTACCCCAAACTTTTTAATATCTCATAGATAGATTTAAACGTAGAATATCAAAAAACTATCTTACCATAACCTTCTCTATATACTCTTTCTTTTTCTCCTGCAACGTCGCGCTGATCTCCTTGATGAGTTTGAGTTCGTCAAGCACCCTCTGGGACATTTCGTAAACTTTCACAGGCTCCGGGTTTTTCACATTCAGATTGTCAGTAAACTGGTCGTGACGTTCCGCTAGGCGCTGATCTGGTTCTATTAATACGTATCTTGAGTAGGACATTTTTCTGGAAAATATATAAATACAATGTAATAATAGACTATTTAGGACAGATTGGTGGTTGACATTGAAAGCAAACAGAAAGAAAAACTAAAACAGAAACATGAGCTAAGGTCAAGCAGATATAATTATTGACCTATTTCTTAGCGTTTCATGGATTCGCGCGTGCGGGGCCGGTCCATCCATCCATGCCATCGTGTGATAGATGGGGCAACACATGCGACTTCGATAGCGCCGGGGAATTGCGACCCAGGAGTAGGTTTAGGGAGTACTCCTTGCGACGCGCCAGCGCACACCTCCACTGTCTGCTGTTACCCGCTCTACCTGACCATATTTGATACGAGCTTAGCAATGCCGCTTTGGATATTCGTTCAAGAAAAGAGAAATTTCTAGGTGTGTATGATATGATGATGATGATGTCATCCGTCGATGGCGAACCCTACTGTAGATTGCTGTTATGGGCTCGGATATGGATGGTGAACCCGAATTTGGTCTTAAAGGTCCTGTCACATAACACACAATGCAGTTGACCTGCTGAGTTATAGGTGTAATTATACATGGGCCCAGCCCGTGTATAATTCATTGTCTGTATAATTCAGTGTCTTGTTTTTGCAATTCACCGTTTAGAGTCCATGCTTTCAAGGCGGGTTGCTTCGTATTGCTCAATAGCCTGATGGACGGTCATTTGCCACACAGATCGTCGTTGAGCGAGCTCTTGCCAGTCCTCACACGGAATGTCACATGCTGTTAGGTGGCGCTTCAGGACGTCCCTGTAACGTAAGAACTGTCCCTCCTGCTTGCGTTTTTCCCGAGACAGTTCGGAGAAAAGGACTCATTTTGGAAGTCTTGAGTCGCTCATACGTACTGGATGACCACACCATCTCTGGTGCCCCCCATTAGTAGAGATTCCATGCCCATCATGTATGTATCCTCCATGTATATCATCATGTAAAATATATGCATGTACAGGTAAATTAGCTTGGAGAAATTTTTGCGTTTGTAGTAGTGTATGGTACGGACAGCGTAAACTGGTTTATTCTGGTTTTGTACGTGTTTCCACTTTCCACTATCAAGTGACGATTTTTTGCTTTAGATTGAAATATCTCGGAAACGGTGCGTCCTAGGCCAAAAATAACAAAAATTTTAGCCCCCCGTAGACCACCGGAGTTTTAAAAATCTAGATGAAAGGAAAAAAAAAAAAAAAAAATTAAATATCGGTCTCTCCTCTTTGAAGTTTCACTTCTATCGTGTGTGAATCGCACACACACCTTTGTTTTTTATAAAGTCAAAACCTTTTTCTTTAAAATAAAAACTTGTTTTTATTGAAAACACAAATCATTTTGTGTTTCATCAATCAAATTTGTTTGTATAGTAGTATACCACGCTAGTATTTTTTGAAACGTATAGGGTTTGTTTCAAGTTTTCCTTCTTTTTGCTGTGCCTTTGTCCTGCGTAGTTTATTCCCTTTGTCTTAGTATGTACACGTAAACTTCCTATATTCAATCAGTAAAATGTTATCGGATATGAACTTACCCGCTTATGACGAGGAGGATAATATTAATTACCAAACGCACTGCAACTATCGACAAGTCTACTACTCGAAAGTCGCGCTTTTCTTTTACCACTCTATATTTAGAGCCAGAAGTAATAAACAGATTCACGATACTATATCAATAAGGCAATAAATGACAGAGGAATATAATTGGAGGAATACGCTGAGTGCTGTGGGTCCGATCCCCACATGGGACGACACTTTGGGTGATTCACAAATTGTTGTTCTGAGTCTGGGTGTTCTTTGTGTCCGTTTCATGTATGTTTGTCTTTAAGGACTGGGCTATGTATTAAAATTGAACATTACTTGCACTGATGGGTCTAAAACACGTAGATCGAGTTATAATTAATCGTGACCGCTGAACATCGAGCTGGTTTGCCAACTTAAGAGTTCAAAAATCATTTGAACCTTTGGAAAAGAGCTTTCTTGATCATCTAATGCATGTAATAATTCCCAAACTTTTTTTGTCTACTGCCCACTTTGCGCCCCCATTTTTTCACCTACTTAAAAACCACTATACCTTCATCATCATCATCGGCCTATCGTAGTCCACTGCTGGACATAGGCCGCTCCCAAAAATACCTATACCTTCAAATTAAATTAATTAATGATTGTGAGCTATATTAGCGCCGATTAAAGATTCATTCTAAACGAGAGTTTTACTATAACCCGCAAGAGTTTAGTTGAGACCTGAACGCAGTAAGTGGTACACAACGGCGCTCAGGTCTCAACTCAACCCTTACGGGCTACACCTGCCAATGAGAATGATTATTGAAACGCAATTTTATAGTATTCAGACAGAGTATCTTTTATTCAAAATAAAACAAACAATCGATTCTTATATAAAAACTAATGTGAAGGATGAATCTGATGATGTTTAGTAAGTTTGTTGATATCAGGTTCCACACTTTGGGAAAAGCTGAAGCTGATTTGGCTGCACATTTACTTAAATTATAGCCAAAACACTCTCGATCGATAAAATTCATTTATTTAGAAATTACGATGTCAGAAACAGAGACACAGAAAAGATATTAAATACCCGCTTTTGCGTCCGAATAAAAAAAGAAAATGAAGTTAGAGTGCTTTTAAGAAAATAGTTTACGACACCTGACGTTGTAAATTTAAAATTTATGTATTTCAATTTGCATCAAAAGAATTAAATCATTATAAAATTAAATACGTCACAAATAATTGTTTTTGTCGACGCAACAGTGAAACAGTTTTGTTTTACTCCATTTTGGAATATTAATCATAGTAATTTAAATTTTTTATACAAACCAATGACCGTATGATTTGTTATACTCAAATGACAAAACAAATCTTTAATTATCTGTACAGATAAAGATTCTCAAATGATTAAAGGTAAACTTCTTTACACAGTATAAAATGGAGTCGTTTTTTTGTGTTGTAAGATTAGATCTTTTTAACTAACTTATTTTAATGCGGTTTTTACTAATAGAGTGAAGAGGAAGGTTTATAACCTTCCAAGAGGAAGGTTTATATGTATAATACATGCATATTATAGTAGAGAAAACACGAGAATTTCAAAGATTTAACAAACGCTGGCTAAACCTTACGAGATAGACCAAAATAATGTACTACGGAGTTGTATATCTTAAAAAGATCTACAAAAAAGTCCGCAATGGTATATATTTATCTCCTAAGGATAACCCACGGGTGACCATTTTTATCTCATAAATATTACAAAAAATGGGTTATTTACGAAGCTTTTTTTAAACAATACTTTAATATTCCTTATCCAATTAAATACTTTATGCATTTGATGTAGATTAAAATTGCTCTTGACAGCATATCATTAAAATGAATATTTTAGAAGATATTAGAGGTTTAAAATGCAGGGACATAACGACCATCGAGGTGTATGTCCGTCCCGGGTGGCAGCGTCCGGCAGGATCGGAGCGGGCCTATAAATATTGCATATAAAGATGTCCTGTAGTATAGTCCTATCATAATAATAGTATAATTAATTACTCAACACTGACACCACATTAGTAGTATTTGTAGTATCTACATTGCAACCGTGCGAAGGGCGGATCGCTATTAAAAGGAATTATAAGAATTGAAACGAAATATCAATAAGCACAAAATTTTAGTCCGAACCGACGATTTAAAGTATGAAACGTCAAACGGTACCTCTTAGATTAGATGGTCTCTAGAACTAACCTTAACCTAATAATTTTATGACAGTAGATATACAGTTAAAATTGAATTAAAAATAAAGATATTTTTAATTCAATTTTAACTGTGTATCTAACTTTTAAGAAAAAGAATGACTAAACTGATACAGAAAAAATATAAAATAGGTTGTGTTCAACATTCGGCACAGATTATATAAATTTCCTTTTAACTTTACAATTAATATTTAACTTAGTTATAATTAATGGCGGGAGTTATAACATGCATTTCAACTTAACGAGGTTGAAATTTTGAATAACCTTCGCCGTGTCGTGAGGGATTAAGAATACGGAGTATCAAAATCCCTATTCATCCCATGGGTGTCGTGAGAGCCGATTAAGGGGCAAGACAACAGCACTGCAAAGAGAAGGAAAACTTGACAAAAACCCTATATCAACCCGTCTGGCCAGCGTGGTATTGTAGGCCAAAACCTCCTTTCTAAGGAGAAGCTTATGTCCAATAGTGGGCTATTAAAGGCTGTTGATGATATGACTTGGAATAAACAGAACTGTTGTTCATCTTACAATCTTAAGTGGGTGCTAAGATGCAATGTGCTGTCTTAAAAATACAATCGTACCCATAGTAATTTTTATTTAGAATAAGAGATGGCGCTGTTCTAAGATTCATACTGTAATTGTTAAATTATTAATTCATTGCTTGATAAACTGTAACATAGGTTATTAGAATTCCTTTATAAATTTAAAGTTGAGCTTCTTGACGTATATTAATATAGTTATAGTTCGAATCTATGACTAAAAGCTTTTCAATTCATTTGTTGCGTTAAGCGTGGAACGAAACGTTGAGCTACCCCTCGAAGGCTAATGACTCACTCGTTTCACCCCTAAACGGAAGCGTACGAAGTTCTGCGAGGGTACCCGAGCGGGGAGCGTACTCAGCTCGCACGGAAAACATAAAATTTCAACCAAAATTCTTATGTAATATTTTACAGTTTTATTAAATTATTAAATAAAAAATAATTATAAACAAAATGCGCGGCAATATATCAAGTGTTTGTCGTTTCGGATACACATCGGTGTGTTGTGTTAAACTAAAGTGATATTAAGACTGCTTATATTGATTTTTTAGTGACGTGCAGAAACGTTGTATGCGGAATTCAGTGTTATTATTAGATTGTGTGTGCTTTTAATATTTCAGTAAGTCGATACGGAACTGTGGTGCATTATGCGTCCTCATATTTGTTACTTGGCTCCCAAGGTGATTTCTTTGCCTCAATCGGTTGATGCGAAAACTGTATGTTATTCGATATTTAAATTCATTCCTTCTTCTTTTTATTTTTGGTTTCCAATTATTTTAATTTATATAAGACTCGTTTTTCCTATAATACTACAGTATAAATTTATTAAAACATCAAAACCATGTCGCCATATTTACATTCTATTTTTAACAAACCCCAAAAGCTATAAGAAGCAGAAATTGTCTAAAAATAGCCAAGCATAGATTTTCTTGATCATGAATAAAACTATTAATAAAATTTGTATTGACGTTATGAGATTGTATTCGTAATACTGCACACGGGCCCAAAATAAAGACGATTTAATAAAGCCTCGATATTAAATTTTGAAAGTACAAAAATTGAAACACGAAGCTTAGGAATAATAAATAATACCATTGCATTCACAAATACAGATAAAATACAGGTTTATCAACATATGAAGTGAATATTTGCTGGAAATCAAAGGGTAGTAACTACAACACTGCTACGATGTCTACGCATTTCGTAGTGTGCTCTACGCCGAGTTTAATCTTATTAGACATTCAAATATCTCAAGAATATTTAAATTATATTTATAACGTAAATTAAAAAAAAACTTATATTTTAATTTACCATAGACTATGTTTGTAAATTTAAAATAACCGAAACTATATTTTAAAAATCGAACACTTATTGTCAATAATTAGAATGTAAATAGTTACCTCTTTGGTTGATATTTAAAAGTATATTGTCTCCGATCGGTTTTCTCTTTTAGTTGTAATTTATTGTTGTGGTATCACAATTTTCAGTTTTGTTTAATATAAAGTAGCTTACAGTTTTGTTTAATATAAATCAGCTTAACCCGTGTCTTATATATCTACGTACCTAACAGAAACTTTCAACATAGTTTTCACCAACTTATAACCTCCAATAACTCTAAAAATTTACAAAGAGATAGTAATACAAGATTAAAAAGTTAGAAATTAAAATATGACGAATAATACCTGTGTGTATTAAATAAATAATTAACTTAAAAAAGTATTACATGACAGAAGATATCGACAATTAAAAGGTAGGCCTTACTAAATGTCAGGAGTATGTAATAATTAGTCTTAAATAAAAAAGATACGGCTTGGCACTATACCATTTAAGGTTATACATTTCTATTTAGCTACTGTTCCACTTCATCTGGTTCCATATACTCGTAATTAACTTTTTTAGAAGTAAAACCGACTTCATGGTTCCTACATTGTGATATAAATTTAATGTATTAAACTGTATTTTTCATTCCCTAATTTTCCACCCTCAGATTTAGTAAATTTCTTTCAAATTTCTATTGGACCAATTAAGAAGTGGGGTATACTTCTTTATAAAAAAAAAAACATTCCAAAAACGGTTCACAAATGACGGAGTCCTGGGGCTAAACATAAAAAAAAAATTCAAGTCGTTACATGTATCTAAAGACTCATTTCTAACTCATATTAAGTGCATGTCCTTTAGTAAGTATCGCTTTTTGAAGCGTCGTCGTAGATATGATAAATTCACGACTCGAGAAAGACAATCGAGGACAATCGCTGCTCTGAACTGAATGCTCGGCGCGAAAAATGAAAGCACACCTTGTGCCGTCACTTACAATTACTGCAATGGTGTGCTCACACGCTCGCATTGTGTGCGTACATTTATCAATAAGATAAATGTTAGTCACACACGAGCACACCAACGACAATTTGAAGGGAGTTCAAGTCGGTCACCGTCGCCGAAATCTGTCGAGGATAGTTAGATTCACGAGAAAATTCTACTTTTGTCTCATAATATGTCATAAAGCGTTTAAAAATTAGGTTAATTGTTCATTGCAGGTACGTAATTCGTGCGTTTGTCTAAAACTTTTAATTACGTTATTACGTTTTGTTGTCTAATTAAGGGTTGAAAATATATTTAGGTATGACTGGCTTGTTGGTCTAGTGGTGAGCGATTCTGATTGCAAATTCAGAGGTGTTGGGTTTGATGTCACTCAGGACAAATATTTCGTGACAAGTATGATCATTTGTTCTGTGTTTGAGTGTAATTTATCTGTACGTAGCGATCCGCCCAGGCGTTGCACGGCTGCAATGTAGTAATTAATTATAATATTATTATGAGAAGACTGTAAAGAAGGGACATCTTTATATACAATATTTATAGGCCCGCTCCGCACCCGACGGCCGCTGTCCCCCGGGACGGACATACGGTCAAACGACGGCTGCTTTGTCCCCGCATTTAAGATCTCCGATATCGTCCAAGATATTCATTTTAATTATATACTGTAAGGGATAGTTTTGATCTACATTAAATACACAGCGTATCTAACGTATTTAATTGGGTAAGCAATAATACTGTATTATTCAAAATAGCTTCGCAAATAACCTATTTTTTTTGTTATCCTTAGGAGGTACACATATACCATCGGCACTTTACAAATCCTTGAAATTATCGGATTTCCTCTACTATAATATGCATGTATTATATGTACACATAAACCCGCCTCTTGAATCAATCTCTCTATTGTTGAAAACCACATTGAAATCCGTTATTTAATTTGAAAGATCTAAGAGTACAAGAACAAAAAGCGATTTAGTTTCATACTATGTAAAGATTATGTATGTATTTAGAAATACGTGTGTCCGGTTTATGTTAATAGTTTTGGATCCTATTTACGTAATAGGACTGAAATTATGGTTGGTTAAGTGTGAACATTTACTGCGCCTCTGTATGGGGTAGACAGATCAGTTTAGGGAGAAAAGACTCAGGGATAAAAGACAAGCAATTTTAATTACTTTATATTGGATATCCATCGATTTTTGCAAAAAGCACGTTCTGCATTAGAAGGATTTTAATACACCCTTTGCTTAAAAAAATATCCTAGTATAGGTATTCACCCTGCCTTCGGACATTGGTTATTATTTACTGAATTCTAGTAACTTCAATTTGGACTTTATGTCATAAATTATTTATGTGATACCCTTCACATTAAATCACATCAACAGCCTTTAATAGTCCACTGCTGGCCCTTTAATATCACTTAACCGATTAACGGCACTAACTTTCAATCATAATAGTACTGACACGCCTTCTACACTCACTTATTAATTTACACACAGCACAGTCTTCTTATCGGTTAAACCCTAAAGAATACTATAAAATACAATGATGTTGTAATAAAAATATTTTTCAACACGCCAAATTTCCATTTTACAACTTAGTTTTTCGTATTGCGTCAAATAGATCTAAGGGTAACTGACTACTGCCTCCCATGGATACATGTAACTCAAAGGACACAAGCATTACCACCCTTTAGCCCACCCCCCCACTTCCGGAGAAATTTGGGCCTCACGTAACCTCAGTCACTCGGTGAAAAGGAACCAAAAAAATTTTTTAAAAAAATTATATGGATTTTAGATTTTAAATTATTCAGTGTTTGTTTGATAGGCGCTCAACGTAAAATGAAGCATGTGATTTTTCAAAAATATTCTGTAATTATTAGTTGTTATTTTTTTTTATTTTAAAACAAACCCTATGTTTAACTTGTATGCGAATTTTCATAATTACAAGTTTAGGATAAAAAAAGTGATGTCAATAAAACTAACATAATTATTTGAAATGGCTGCGCTGTAAAGTTCACCAAAAATCAGATCCGACAATATTCTACGACCATGACGAAAAAGCAGCTATTCTTTCTTTGCTTTACTTGACTTCGTTCGAGCTGGTAGAATTTTTTTGTCAAAGTCATAAAGTTATCAACAAACTATATAAAGATTGTCTTTGCCTTGGAATTTTAAACTGCGCATAAAAAATCTACATAATTAAAAAAAAGATATGTTAGCAGCGCGCGTCGCGTCGGTGAGGTATGGCTTCGCGCCATTTAATAATTACCGTGTTAAATTCCTGTTCTGTCGAATACTTACTTGAGTTAAACCTTGAACTTTTGGGTTTTTATGTAACCCCACTGTTTTATGGCTGTAATCTGATAATCGTATACACGCGGACTCGTGGCTGTCGAATTATAGAAGGTGGCTAGTTACTGTTCTAAAGAAGGTACATACAAGAAATTAAAATGTATGAATTTTTTACAATAACAATAAGTCCAGTTTCGGGGTCACTTAGTGGGTAAGGTCAGATTGGCCTCAAAGAAGCTCCTGAACAGATCGAGGCAGTATTTCACTCCGGAGTATTTCTACAAATAGTATTTCTATAAGGGGCACCTCAGTACCAGCTTCTCCCTCTGGACCGCATCCAACGAAGAGCGGCTCGATCCCTTGGCGTTACGTAGAGATGTGGCTCCACTCTGCATTCTCTATCGCATATATCATGGAGAGTGCTTCGAGGGATTGTTCTGACTAATACCAGCCGCAAATTTCCGCCATCGTTCTACACGGCA